GAGTAGTGAAAGAACTCCAGAGTCTTTCAACTAAGTCAAGCCTAAATAATTCTTTGCTTTCTAAAGTTTGATTCATATACATAAATAATCACCTTCACCTCTTCCAGATCAGGTCTACTTCCAGTCTGGGCAGATACATAGGATCATTTCCAGCTCTGTCAACATTTCACAATCCAAAACTATCTTTTGAGTACCACCACTACTCCCCACTGACATTTTCTCCTGCTTTTCTAAGTGCTGTTACACTGTGCTGCTTCTGTGCACCTAACTCCCCCTGCTGAGGGCACCTCCACTGCAGAGAAACCCTCCCTGGTCCTTCAGGAGAAACCCAGCCTTTTGTTCTTCCCAAAAAAGCAGCCATTCCGCAGCTACTCTTAAGAGAAGCACCCTGTCCTGACCCTTCACTCTACTAGGACAGCACAGTTACACAATTTGTGGAGACATGTAGCAGGATGTTGACACAAAGTATTCCCACAACTCTGTATCAACACCTTGGACTTCCTATTGCAAAGATACATAAACATAGGGATTTACAGCTCAACTGCTGGCAGGCTCTGAGTGAGACAGCCACCTCCCAAGGGTTTTCTTCACTGGTTCTCACTCAGAGCTCATCTTCAACAGGAGCTGCTTTCACATCACGGCCACAATGCTTCTAAACATGCTTTGACTAAACACTCTGAACCCTTAAATGCTCAGCTTATTTTGTGGTGTTTTTTCTCTAGTCCTTTTACTCTACCCCATTAGATAGGACCTAGTATATAACATACATGGATTTTATAGTAATTCTCTCAAGACAGAAATTGCAAGTGCAACATGATAACGTAGCATGCAAGACAGTCCACAAGGATACCTAGAGCATCACTTTACAAAGCAAAACTGACAAAAAAGGCATATTATTAATTCTGCTCCCATCTGTCACCTCCTCAGAGCATCACACTTACAGAGCTTACAAAGCTCTCAAAGCAAGAGAAAGATCATGAGATAAACAAGGTGCATTGGACCAGGATAAGACTAAAGATGAAGCTGTCAAAAAGTATTTTAGGTATCTGTGGGTAAGCTGGAAAACAGGCAACCCTTTCCTATACCTTCAGTTCTCAGGATCAAATGTCAAACAGCAAAAAAGTATTGAAAAAGAAAAATTGAACAAGGAACTCAAGACATCAGCTGTAGTCAGTTTAAGGACGAACTACACGAACTTGATGTAGCAAAAAAGAAAAAAAGGAAAAAATAAAAGTAGTAACGAGTAAAACACACAATCAGGAACTTCAAAAAGCAGTATTTAACTTTTTACCTGAAATCTATTTAACATATCCAAAAGTTTGGCAGTTATGTGGTAAGTTAGAAGGATGGGTTTGACTTTGTCTTACCAGAAAAGCTTGTAGTGCACTGCTCGACAGCTCCTTCTCCTGATCGGTAATCCCTGAAGTACCTGCTCCTTCATGTTTCTCAGTACCTTGATCTGTAAAGTGGACAGATGATTACAAAAAAGTCTGTAAATGTGATAAAAGCTATTCAGCCTCCAAATATTGTTTCTGCTGGTTCTCAAGATCCACCTGCCAGCAGGAATAACACTCCACATAACTGCAGCACTCTGTCCCACCTTCACTAAGCATCTCCAGTTACCCAACAATCCTAACTACGTTACCGTGCTCTCAATCGATAACCAAAGTCCCGCAAGTTAACTTGATATGCACACATTTTAGATTTATCTTAAAAGCTGCAACCACACACTAGAAATAGACTTTATTTACATAAAAATCTGTAGGGAAGATCAAATGCTATCCAGTGATTACACGGCAAGATGCCATAAGCAAATGTTGCCTATACGCTGCCTCAGTCCTGATCTCGCAGGTCTTTCAGTGACCCATCTCTCTTCTAAGGTGAGCAGCCACAGTTTAATTTGCATCTTCCTCACGCTTTTTTCCCCAGCACCTTCTCCAGTTCTACTTATCTTTATCAGGTTAAAACAAGACGAACAGCGTGTAGAATTTATGATGGTGGCCCCTCTGAGCACTTACACAGTAACAGAATAAGATTCTCATTTTAATGGTCTTCAATTCATTTTAAATAAAATTTCTAATGTGTTTTTTACTTGTTGGGCACTGCTGAGCTTACTCTTCGGGAAGGAATCTCACTGAACTCTTTTGACATCATGTAATGAAGAGTTCAATGAAGTTGCACTGAACTACAGCACAGATGTTCCGTGTTAGAGCAGCTGAAAATAACAGCCAGTCCCTGCCTTTTACTGAACATAAACTACTGGAGGAAAAAAAAAAAAACAGTCACCACACCAGACCCGCTTGTATCTGGAAGCAGTAGCTCTAGAAGTACTTGCTATGTTTCAGCACGAGTTAAATCACTTCATGTTTTTGAAGCATAGACTATAAACATCCAGGGTAGGAATAAAACAGAGTTAATAATCGATTCATGGTTTGTGCTTGTTGCTGGGAGGACAGCAAGATCCCTTCCATCGTCCCATACAACAATACACTTCCGCAAGAACCATAGCCTTCATCTTGCATCAAGACACCAGAGAAGATGAGATACTAAAACCTCAACAATCTTTCACCAGCTAGTTACAAAGCAAACACTGTGACTTAGACAAACTTTGGTTCAGCAATTTCAGCCCTCAGGAGGGATGGCTCCTTAGGGTGTTACAGAACTGCACACACCTGCTACAAAATCAACTGCACATCATGCAGTTACCGATGCCACTTGTGCTGCCTCTTCCTTAGAGGGGAGAGGCAGAACAGAAAAAAAGAAAGTCAGAAAAGCCCAGGAAACTTTTGGGATGCCTGGGTTTTCCCACAGCAAAAGAGAAAAGGAACAAGAAGCACTTCTTCTCAAGCTAAACATCTAAAGATCTAAATCCTTACGGCTGGACAGCTGAACAAAAACCTGTCGCCTTTCAAGGACAGCAGTGAATAAACAAACAGGTTTTCCCTCCAACTTTTGTGCTAACAGACATGGTATCTACTTTACTTGCTCAGCAGGCCTTCAAGATTATGCTAGTGCAAGTAAAGACAACGCAAAGACTTGAGAAGCCAGAAGCTTTGAAGTTGATGAGACTCGGTCTAGTCAAGAGGTTCCTCGTGTACAGGTTTACCTCTCAGGAGCGCCACCCAAACCAGTGTTGCCCATTGCTACCACCCTATAAAAGCTCATTGAGCAAAGCACTGCCAGTGATAGAGGGCTTACGGAGGCCTGAGTCCTGAAGTGAAATGTCTCAAGTGAAAGATAAACCAAAGAGACTGGTAGCTGCCTAACGAAAAGTGGCACTTACTGCTTTAAATGCTGCTTGGTGCACCTCTTAGGGAAAAATCAGGACGGGTCTACAAACACGCCTTATCATATGTTAAAAAAAATAAAAACAAAAGGAGGGCTGTTCCTTCTAAAAAGTCACTTTTACCGCCATAAACCGATGAACTGCATCTCCTACAATGTGTTAAAGAAAGCAAGTTTGTGAAATCTGAACTGGAAGTTTGTTGAGACTGAACAAAACTGAAGTCCAGCCGGAGCAATTCACAGCATGGCTTTTTTTCTTTGAGAAAACCACTTTGGCTAACAAGTCCTACGAGGAGCGGCTGAGGGAGCTGGGCTTGTTCAGCCTGGAGAAGAGGAGGCTCAGGGGCGACCTTATCGCTCTCTACAGATACCTTAAAGGAGGCTGTAGCGAGGTGGGGGTTGGCCTGTTCTCCCATGTGCCTGGTGACAGGACGAGGGGGAATGGGCTAAAGTTACGCCAGGGGAGTTTTAGGTTAGATGTTAGGAAGAATTTCTTTACTGAAAGGGTTGTTAGGCACTGGAACAGGCTGCCCAGGGAGGTAGTGGAGTCACCATCCCTGGAAGTCTTCAAAAGACGTTTAGATGTAGAGCTCAGGGATATGGTTTAGTGGGGACTGTTAGCGTTAGGTCAGAGGCTGGGCTGCTCCACGAGCCCGTTGCGTTACCCCGGCCGGGCTCCACCAGAGCCATTTTCCCTCAGCGCTGGGGCACGGCACCGACCCCCCCCCCCGCCCGGCCCCTGCCCCTCAGCCCCCCGCGGAAGGACACCTCCCTCCCTGTGCCTCACACCGCGCCGACCGTATCCCTCCGCCGCGGAACGGCCCGGGCTCCCCCCGCACCCGCTCACCCGCGGCCTTGTCCGCCGCCATCCCCGCCGCCGCCGTGCGAGCCGAGGCGGGTTACCGGGCCGGGGCTGCCGAGGATGCTCCCGGTCCTGGCCGGGCTCCGCGCCGCTCTCCGGGACTACTTTCCGCCGCCCGGACACTGCCCGCCCGCCGCCGCCGCCGCTGCCGCCGCTTCCGGGTTCCCGGCGAGCTCGCGACGTGCGGCCGTTGCTGGGGAGCGTGCGTCTGACGTCAGGGCGCGCCACCGCTCCGCCTCGGGAGGGGAGGGCGGGAGGCTCCCCGCCTCCGAGCCGCCGCCATCTTGTGGGGGGCTGTGAGGGCGCGGGGGTCCCGGCATGGGGTCACTGAGCTGTTAGGGTTGGAAAAACACCGAAATACCTGCTTCGACCCAATGTCAGCACCAAACCGTGTCCCCAAGCACCACGTCCAACCTCTCCCTGAACGCCCCCAGGGACGGGGACTCCACCACTTCCCTGGGCAACCCGTCCCGACCCCTGACCGCTCTTCCTGAGAAGAAATTTACCCTAATTTCCAACCCAAACCTCCCCTGGCGCAACTTGAGGCCATTCCCTGTAGTCCCATCACCAGTGACCTGTGAGAAGAGGCTGACCCCCATCTCCCAAGCAGTTTTTCACACCTTTTATGCCCTGGTTCCCAATGTTTACTCTCTCCCTTGGTTCCTCCTTGGCCAAGTACTACTGGTTCACAACCTGTCCGAAGCTTGCTACTAGTGTACACTGAATCTCAGTTTGCTTTTGCATTAATCACTTCAGAATATTTATTAGTTTGTGTGGATTATCTGCCTGGCTGCCTGAAGTGCTGTTGGGTTACTCATTGCCATATCAAATACAAATAAAATCAAATGAAAGGTTGTGGGTTGAGGCAAGGACAGTTTATCATGACAGAAATGAAAGGAATACAATAATAATAATAATAGTACTAATAAAAATAATGTGTACGAAACAAGTGATGCACGATGCAGTTGCTCACCACCCGCTGACCAATGCCCAACCTATCCCTGAGCAGCCAGTCCCCAAACCCCAGCCAGATCCCTCAGGAACCCTTGGTCCATCCCAATGGAAAGGGCAGTACCTGGGCAATCGGTCTTCCCATAGCAATTGCTATGATTGAGGCTCTGGATAGAATATTTGACCCATTTTATCCAGGCATTTGCATCCCTATACACACCCCATATCAATTTCAGATGTTTGCCTGAGATCCTTTCTTATTTTTCCAACTTTTATAACTGTAGGACTTTGAAGAGGACTTCCCCATCTTAGAGTCTCTCCCCATCTTAGGTGACTTTAGGGGACAATTCCCATACAGCTATCCTAAACCTGGCTGTTGGGTCAATCCCAGTCACATCTGCTCCGAGACCAAAGGTATGGTTAATAAGGTCATCAGCCTCATTAATTGTTATAGTTATTGGATTACATTGTAGAGGTTGGCAGTTGGGCTGAGCAGTTCCTTTAAATATGCTAATTTGGCTCTTTAACCCTTTTAGGCTATTACTTGAGCTGGGTGTATACGTTCACCCTTTGCAAGTGGTCATCCACCATACACTACTCCATCCTGGGCAAGGGGGGCTTTAAACAATCCACTAGTCTTAGGTTTAGGACAAAGATATTTGTTCTCACTGCTCAATTGCTGTTGAGCATTTAAGTTCCCACAAGTCAACACCTCACAAGCATCAAACGTGATGTTTTGTGGTAATTCATTCTTTGTCATATTTACCCATATCTTGATGGGATACCCCACTGCTCCTATTTCCCAATCACCTCTTTGACAAGTGATTATTTGGCAGAAGTTCTCTCTAAGGCATATAGCCACCAGGATCAAGGCTAATAATTGGCCTTCCCCTATTGCCATTTTTAAGCTTTAAGTCTTAAATAATTATGCATTGATTTACAATTATGAGCCTGTACACAGAGTCTATCAGGAAGCCTGCCTTCTGATTTTGATCTTCAGTGAGTCTTCTGTAGGCACAACTTCCCAGGTATTGGGACTGATGGATGCCTTTACTCGTGTATAATGAGTCCAGACTTTCTCCGCCGTTCTTACAGCTGTTTCAGTAGTAAGTGGTATTTGGAATGGTCCTTCCCATTCAGGCCGGAGCTTTGATTCCTTCCAGGTATGCATCAGGACCGTCTCCTTCCAGGTATGCATCAGAACCCAGTCTCCTGCATGGAATGGGCGTAGTGGGAATTCCAAGGATGGTGTTTGAGCTGAATCCTAAGAAATATCAAAGAAGAACATAACATGAATACACAGTTTCTGAGAAAAATATCCTTAGTTTCAAGAGAAGGTATTTCACTGCTCCTACCCAGGTATGGTAATCCAAACATACCACATGGTGAGACTCCTCTATCCTTTCCTAGCAGTTTGAATTCTGAGAAAAGTTAAGCATGTTGTCCAGGGAAGTTTAGTTTCTAATACAAGTTTTGACAGGTGTTTCTTTAATGTCTGATTCATTTGTTCCACTTTCCCAGAGGAGGAAGGATGCCATGGAGTATGAAATTCCCATTGTATTCCCAAAATTCTCATCAATCCTTGTAAAATGTATGAAGTAAAATGACTTATTTGATCTATTAGATTCAAAATAGATTCAGTAAATTGTCTTTTTCAATCAGTATAGCTTCATATTCTAGAGTCTGTCAGCCATCTTCCTGCTTTCTGAGTAAGGGTAGTCTTCACTTGGTGAGGGGTAACAGCAATGAATTGCCCCCAAAGGTCAATTTCCTGCTTTCTTCTACCAGTAAGGCAGTTGCTGCTACTGCCTGAACACACTGGCCATCCCTGGGATGTGAGATCTAATAATTTAGACAGATATGCTACAGTTTTTCTTCTATCTCCCCTCTCTTGGGTTAAAACCCTCAAAGCAGCACCCTCATTTACAGTTATAAAAAGATGAAATGATTTATTTAGGGCAGGAAAAGCTATGACTGGTGCTGTAATCAGATCCTGTTTTAGTTTTTCCACTATTTCTTTTTCTTCTTCTGTCCAATTCAATGTATTGGGTTTCTCCTCCAATAATTTGAGATATAATATCTTTGTTTTCTGTGCATATGCCTCTATCCGTAATCTGCAATATTCAGTTAAACCTAAAAATTCTCTTAATTCTTTCTTTGTTCGAGGGAGAGGAAGTTGCGCAATTCCCTGAATCCTTTCAGGGTTTATTCTCCATCTGCCCTTAGAGACTAGATATCTGACTTCTTTTTCCACATATTGTAATTTATTCTTAGATACCCTTAGCCTGTGTTCTCCTAAAAAAAAAAAATAAATAAATAAAAAAATCAGGAGTTCATTTGTGGCTTCTTTTACCTTTGATTTTTTCTACCACAAATATCAACAAATCACCTACATTTGTAACAACATCCACCCCTTCTGGAATCTGAAATGTTCCTAAAATCTTCTCCAATACTTGCCAGAACAAATTGATGGGATTCAGTGAATCCCTGAGGCAAAACAATCCATCTATATTGTCGTTTATGGACCATTTCTAGGTCTTCCCATTCAAAAGGTTTTCTAATAGTTGTTGATTCCACCCTTCTGTTTTCTGTTGTATTGTATATCTATTTGTGTATTTGGCCATGCTTTCATCATGAAATTAACCATTAAAAGCCCCTGTGCTACAGGGTCATCAGGATTCATTCCTGAATACCTTCTCATCCTGTCTCTAAGCCTTTCCAAGAAATCACTCAGTTTCATCTTTACTCTGCTGAACCTCAAAGGCTTTAATAAAATTCTGAGACTTAAGTACTGATTCTCTAATTCCTCTAAATACAATTTCTAACAAGTCTGTCATATTAACCCTATGCTGAGCCTTATTGTTGTCCCAGTTAGGGTCCACATTTGGAAATTTTTGCTCTGCTGGAATTACCCCATCTCCTGGAGGATGATCCCTTTCCCATTCCTGCATTGCTGCTCTTCTAATCATTCCTCATTCTTCCCCTGAGAATATCATATTCAGAATTGCCATCACTTCTCCCTGGGAATATAAATTGTGTCTCAGAAATTGATGTAATGGCTCTGCAAATCCAACGGGGTACTCAATGAGAGACTTCATTTCCTTCGTAAAATTTTGCACTTCTCCACTAGTAAGGGGAGCATTTACATACCCTATTTGTCGAGGTCCTAGCGGAACTTCCCAGAGAGGATACAGAGCAGCTTTGGTAGCATCAATAATGTTAGTATTAGGGAATGGAAAATTCTCAAGATCTTTTCAATATTATTCTAATTCTTTTACAAGCCTGGGGTACCTTCTGCCTCTAACTTTGTTCACAGTTCCTCTCTCTTCTTCTGGAGCAGCTTGGGGGTTACAAGGAAGATAAATTCTCTAAGGGGTCCCATTCATTATTTCTTCTCTCCTCTTTCTCTTCCTCTTTATTCTGAACTTTGCTCAAAAGCAAATGTGTTTCTTATATCCAACAAGCAGCATAATCTGATTCTTCTTCTGAAATTGGAGAATTGCTATTGACATATGAATTTAAGGCCTGACATACCTAGTCTTCATCAGACCCATATTTTGGCCAAACATACCTAGTCCTCATCAGGCTCATATTTTGGCCAAAATGCTGCAGTTCCTTTGTTTGGTTCCTTTGTCCAGACTAAAACACAATATTTAGCCATTTTCTTTCTATCTTTTCCCTTAGTTTTGGGGTTATTCTTCCAATTTCTTAGCATTCTTCCTACAGGACTGTCAGTAGGCACTACCTTTGGGGTATCTCCCTGTTCCCTGTAGGGTACCACACACTAACTCTCTGGTTCTAGAAAATGGGGGTGTACTGACGAGCACTTTACCATGCAAGGGGTACTGTACACCTATGGGTTTACCAGATTCCCTGGTGTACTGCCAAGCACTTTACTGTGCAAGGGGTACTGTACACCACATTTCCCAAGACTCTTCCCTTCTCTCTCTTATCTCACACTTTGTCTGTCTCTGGCCATGCCCCTCATGAAGCTACAGAACCGCGGATCAGGACTCCACACTCACTTCGTACAAAAGTATGTCTCAATCACACGTCACACGAGAGCCTCACCCAATTCCCAAAGCAATACTTAATATTTCTTACCTTGGTCTGTGCACAAAGTTACCGGGTCAATTCTCCAACCCAGAGTGCCTCCCTTCTCACAGTACTTCATGGATCTTGCTTCTTTAACCAGTCTCTGGCCCTCTGTCAGCTCTCCCTAGAACCACTGCTGTCAAGTGCACAGGATCACTGAAATCAGCAGGGTGCCCCTTCCTGCTGCTGCAGTGACAGGGTCCCTGGTAGACCACTGGATCCCAGACGAGCTCCCAGATTGTGAGAAACACTCGCTGGCCAATAACACAGGCTTCAGGCAAGGATCTCAGTGAAGTAACCTTTTATTTGCGATTGCAGTGGTGAGCATCTCACAAGCAGGAGAGCACTTGTGGACTCAATTTTCACACCTTTTATGCCCATGGTTCCCAACTCCCCTGGTTACTTATTGGCCAAGTACTACAGGTTCACAACCTATCCGATGCTTGTTACTAGTGTCATACAAACCTTATCAACCTTTAATTCTTCCCTTTGTTTTCCTTATCTTTTGCAACCCTCTATGCTGTTTTCAACAGCTTTTCAGCCTTTTGGTCACGTACACCCAGCCAGTGCTTTTCCGCTGAATATCAATCTAGTGCTTGTTTCCCCCCATACATTGTGCAATCCCAGGAAGCAACATGCCTTGCATTTCCTATGCTTATGTTACCAATTCCGATGAAAAAAAAAAAAAAAAAGAAAAAATTTTTGTTCCCACATCACACATCAGAAGGGCTTTCCCCTCAGCACTCCGGCACAAAATTTGATTATTTACCTACTGCTCATGCTGCAGTTTCATTTTTTGCCTGGCTTTCCTGAAAGAACCCATCTGGAGTTTCAGTTTGGTTTTGCATTAATCTTTTCAAAATATTTATTAGTTTGTGTGGATTATCTGCCTGGCTACCTGGAGTGCTGTTGGGGTGCTTATTGCCATAGCCATTAGGGTGGATGAGGCAGCATTGCGCCTGCGGCCTGCATTCCTTGTTGGATGGCTGCTTGGGCAGCAGCTTAACCCTGCTGGGAGCCCCTCATGCTGCAAGGCCACTGTCCTCTGGTGGGAAGGACTCTGATTAACATTTTCTATCATTGCCATTATCCTTGTAGTTAAAGTACAAGGTGTACAAGACAACAAGAGGTGAAAGACATGGGGTAAATGGCATTTGCAGTGTCTGGAGTAGTCATAAATATTAACGACTCTTAAGTGTCTGTAATGACTTGGACATACTGTAAACCTTGAAGCATTTCAAGACCCCCCAAGAGAGCTCTTTGCATGCCCAGCAGCTATGCACAGCTCTGGCCTGTCATAGGGACAGCGGACAGGCCTGGAGGAGCCACCTCCACCCACAGGTAACTGTGGGATGTGAAGCGAGGCTGTGAGCAGGGGCCTGGGGACCCTGTCTTGCTGTCCCTGGGGACACACGGACAGTCCACATTAGCTGCCACTCTGTGTACATGACTTTCCATCACTGAGCTCCCCCTCTCCTTCCTCTGTGTCAGGGCGGTTACTCTAAGACTCTGCTATAATTTTGTCATCTGTTAATATGGGAACAGTTTATTGCATTATCTTTCCAGATCTGTTTCTCCGAGACTTCCCTCCATCCACATCTATTCCTGCTGAACATCAGCTTGTTTTCTTCTTGCAACAGGAACCGTGGATCTTAGTAGATTCTGCATTATATGATTTCAACCTCGTTGCCAGCTGACAGCATTTGTCAAGAAAGACCAGGCTATCTAAAGCATACCACACCTGTTGCATGCCTGTTACACATTATATAAAGTTTAAAGGATGAAATCTGTCTCTAGGGAAACTGAACACAAAACTGGTTTGCTGGAAGCAGGATTTCTTACTGGTCATCTTGTCATAAGTATCCAGTTACTTTATTTTTCTTAACTCTCCTGTTTGACACATGGGAGAGGCACGGTTTGTAAGGAGTGGTGATACTTTATTTAACAAGGGAATACGGTTGGAAAGAAATAAGCACACATAAGAAATAAGACATGCCAGAAAGACACTATAAGAAATAGACACACCAGCTCTGAACACCTTTAAACTATCACAGCTTTTAAAGAGCAAATCTGTATGAACTGACAAATTTTTGAAAACACTAGTTTGGGAATTTCAAGATCAGGGTGATTTTTTTTTTATTTTGTAGTTAAAATTCAGAATATTCCAACTTCTGTTTAGTGATTTCTGTTATTCACGGCTCCTGCAAATCCTCTTCAATTTACCCTGATCTTCAGACTTTCTTATGGACATGTGTACACATATAGGAGAAAATCCTGCAGTCCATATATGTAAGCATTTTATTCCAAGCCTCTGAATTTGTTACATTTCTTTTGTGAGAAATAGCAGCTGGCCCATGCTGTTAGCCAGACCTGTATTAGACAATAACCGCCAATAAAGTAATAGCAAGCCCTCCTGATGTGTGTATATATTTACTAGTCTTATTAATTATTTATGCTGGTATATTCTGGTTTGGTAATCAGTAGAAACTACAAAAGCAAAAGCATTTTACTCCTAGTATAACCGTGCGTTCTCTCTGACTATTATCAAAACAAGAAAGTTGCCAAAAAGCCACCGTGACACAGTAAGAACGCCTAATGTGGACCCAATGTGAACATACATCTTCCTCTCTCAGGTTTGCTACTGGGTTTGTCACCAGTGCCAAAACGGCAGCCTGCTAGTTCCAGGGCATGCTGCTCCGAGATAGATGGGCACCACGATGAATTCACTGTTCCCTACTATACCTCTTCTTTGACAGTCCTGTCAAAGCTCATTCAGCTTGAAGCATGGCAGCACTGGTATCCAGCTTCTCATCTCTTCTACAACGTGACATCTAGAGGACATTCACAGTAATTTGCTTTATCCATCATGCTATGAATTTACTGCAGGGCTTCTGTACCTGAGGGGTACTTGCAGCAATTCTTGATATACTTCCTCCATTGTTTTCCCATGTCTGTGGCTTCTATTTCCAAAATCAAAATATTTATTCAATTTCTAAGGCACAGATATTTTTGCTGGCTAGTTTTTATTTTTTTTATTTTTTTACCTTTTATCAATATGGATGATTTTTTTTTTTTTAAGGAACGTGTCACAAGTAAAATAATTTTCCCCCTTCTTATTAATAATCATATCTTATTTGCTTATGTGGGAGTGAAAGGTACTGAAGGAAGGGAAGAGACACATGCCCTTTGTTAACATTGCAGTTCAAGCATACAGTCACGCAATCAAAATTGTTATTGACATTTTTCCTTCAAAAATGAATACTGTGATAACATCACTATATTACTGTAAGGGTAGGGGAAAGAATTTCTTGAATGCATGTACATCCAATTTGCATTCTGCCTGAGGTGTAGTAGATCTTGTCAAGTGAGCAGATAATAGAACCTGTGACTGGGCTCAGTAAGGCAGGTACGCCATCTGCTGTGGAAGATACTGAATAAACTTAAATATCCTTTGAGAGAATTATTATTATTGTTATTGTTATTGTTATTGTTATTGTTATTGTTATTGTTATTATTATTATTATAAATTATTAACAACAACAACATACTTTACTATTTACTTCTGCAGTAAAGAAATAGTCCCAATTCAGGCTTTTAGCTGAAAGCTCAGTTTGAAAAAAAAAAAACAACAAAACAAGCATGGAACAGAGATGGGCAGATTCTTCTAGGTTTCTTCTGCTTATTTCTAGGTTATGCCAAAACAAGCAAAAAGGACCCAGCTGTAATTTGTATTGTCTAAGTGGAAAGGCAGTTTCAGAGGAATAAATCGTGTCTGCTTAGGGCCAGAGTGTAGTGCCAACATCTCACTCCTCTCCCATGCAGTACCCTCCTTTAGTACACAAGACTAATTAGGCCAGGGTTTCCTCTCTGATTTTGGCCTCACTAAGCAAGCAATTTTTCAAGACTTGCATACTCAAAGTTCTTGCACACTCAAAACCAGCAAGACAGCCATCTCCTACCCAGCCTTGCAGCAGCAGATAACCTCTCTGCTGCTCATGTACAAGCAAGACCTGTCTCATAGAGGAGAAAATCAGGATTTACAACATGCCCCACCACCTAGGAAGAAAAGGAAGAGCATAGCCAGCTCCAAAGGGAACTGTAAAAGGTACAGTTCTTTGCCCAGAAAAAAAAACCATATAGAAATCTGGGCAGCATTTTGTTTTCCTAGTAAATTCCAAAATACAGATCGTTTTATATAATACATCTTCTATTAATAGGGCTTCCCATCCCTTGCCCCTCTAACATTAAAAAGCGCTTAACCCCTAGGTGGCACTATTTAATAAAACAAGGCCTGTTTAGGCACTGTATTTTCCCCCTACAGATGGAGTTCTTATTTAAAATGTAAACTAGTGTAAATGCAAGTATGTTGAATGCAGCTATTAGTCTCAGTTTGGTAATCCTCTTTTTCTGAATCTATCTCTCAAAGCCAATAAAATACACTGCTGTGAATCTCATTTAAATACAGTATTTGTGCCTTCAGAGCGCTATGGAATATATTTCCTGGAAAATTATGGAGCATTGCAAACTATTATAGTTTTTGTTCTTTCCGTGAGCAGTGAATAAAACAGCGTAGGCTGTGTTTAGCAATCCGCTTGGAGCAACAGTAGAGTGATAGCTGTAAACAGCTGGTGCAGAGCTTCCCCACATCTCTTGTATAATCTCAAACATTATTTTGGATCAGGTGGAGGCTGGCCCAGCACCACACATCTCCTGTGCACATTTTCAAACTCCCTGAGGTACAGCCATCTCACAAAACTTTACATCCTCAACCACGGGACTTGCAGAGTGCAGCATGCTCCCCTTCCATCTGCCTCACATAGGTAAGTTTCACACCAGCCCCCACTCCCCACGTAAAAGCTTCACAGGTGGGAGCCCTCTAACTTTTCTCACTCCTGCAGGTTCTGGAAGACACTGGTTTAGTCCTTCCTGATCCTGCTTTTCACATTGATGCTGGAATTTGCATTGCTTGGTGGTGCAGGGGAAGAATGCTAGACTTCATCCTGCAGCCACAGCAGCAGTACCCCAAAAATACCGTGAATAAACCCTTCTTGCACCTTGTTTCCACAGACAAAAAGGAGAGGCAGAATACCCTGAAGGCAATGTTTACCACTATGACAGCTTTGCTCGCAGTCAAATGTAGGTGATGATACTGGGAGACAAGCCAAGGCTGAAAGGACCTCAGCATCCCTGGGGTGTGGAAAGAGAAGCAGTGGGTGCAGAGCTTCTGGGTGCAGGAGGTACAACTGGGAAACAGAACAGCAGAGCTTAAGGCAGTTAGAGGAACAGTGCTACAATCTCCCCAATAAATCTCTATGATTCTCCTCTTGAAAAGATATTCTTTTTTTTCCCTCACGTTGTAGTACCTGATAAATAGCTCCTTCATGGCATCTCTCAACGCCCCCTTCCCTCATTCTGCTCTGATTTTGCCTGTACAGGCAATTCTTACGTATATTCTCTCCATCTGGCTTTTGTGATAGCTTCATTATCTTTTTTTATTAATAGCTTTAAGTTTTGGGATCACCCAAATTGCGTTATTTTGTCAGAGTTTCTTTCCTAAGGTAAGAAATGAAACGTTTTTTACAGCATCTTTGTCACTTCCCTACTCATACTGTCATCCAGAAAACAATTGTGCATCTAAATACAATTCTCTGAAAATCAACATGGTCATGGAAGGAAAACTGTAGGCATATCACTGTACTTTTTGGGTTATTTAGTTTTCTGTATAGAAGGCTACTCTAAAGCTTATGAAGCTTTAATTTCCACTTAAATCCTAAATTGACAAGAAGAGCGTTTATTTCAACAGAAGCATACTGAGGCCCAGTCCTTAATTCACAGGGGGCAACTTTCCCAGTGTGACACTGCTAAGAGGAGAAGGATCAGGGCTCTAAATCATTTAGTCGCTACATCAGTGACTTTTAGCACAAGCAGGAGCTGGTTTGTTCATAATAGTAAGATGTCTGCTTGACTACTGCCCAATGCGCCAAGCACCACTTTATGCCCTTCCACATTGCAGAGTACTTTGACCCTGAGACACAGAAATAGAAAGTGAATGTACCTGTGTTCAGTCAGAGACCTTGAGCAAATGCTGGGTCTTCGGCCCAGTCTTAATTCTTCCTGTGCCAGCCTAAACTCATACATACACTGCAGGAAGTCTAACGCTCGATGTCCTTGCTGTTGCAACAGTTAGGAAGCTGATGTTTGTTGAGAAATTTTTATATCGCCAGGCAGGAACAATCTATAAATCAGAAAATATAAGTAAATTCTTACTAATTATACATTTGTGGTACTTATTATTCTTCGTATTTCTCCAAGCATTCAGGAAGAGATGGTTTCTTTCCTGAGACATTTCAAGCAGTTTTTCTCCAAAGACACAAATTAAGTATTTTGCTGACAAACACTATTATTATTTTTTTAATTCTCAAAGGCATTTAAGTAAACTTGAAATATTTTTTCTTCCAAAACATTTATGAGTTTAGGAATGTAAACCTGAGTATATTTTATAGGCCACACAATTTGCTATTTTGAAGAGATAGAAGGTTTGCTTATTCATTTTTGCCTAAAATAGTAGGCCTCTGTACAACTCGCATCTAAATGCTTTCATACTGCACATCTGCAGATCACATGAAGATACCCAATTTTTTTGTTGAGAAAACCAACAGGAAATACACTATTGGCAGCTACCATGGTTCTCTGTGTGAGACTGTAAGGTTAAGCTCTGTGTAAGGCTGTAAGACTCAGGCAGCCTCCAGTTCAAGTTGAACTTCCGTATGTAATGATACGCTATTAAATACAAAGGCTTTTTTTTTTTTTTTTTGATTAAATTTTAACTTGCTGAGTAAATTAATCAACAATTAATAATTAAAAACTGATTAAATTTAACTTCCAAATAAAATTCTGTGTATGACCCTGGATGAATCCAGGACAAAAATCTCCATCCATATCATGATTTATTTACTTATAAAGATTAATGTAGATTTTATTTTGTTTTAACAGTTCATGTTAGCCTTTCAAGTTCCAAATATATTTGACTGTAGTAGAAATCTCTGAAAGCTGTTTTACCTTCTTTCTGCCTGTCCCTTTGCCTAATCCAAGTCAATTATAAATGAATGTGGCCTCAAAGGATGGAGGAAAAAACATAATGAAAATAGTCACATGGTCCAAAACATTAAAAAGATGGGAATCTATTTAAGGAATGAAACATGTTTCAGGAGCTGTAGAATCTCTGCGGACTGACATATGGGAGTCGTATGTCAGCATATGCCTGTGCTGCATGTACAGCCTATATCCTTTGCTAAATGCCATTTGCGTCCATAGTTGTAGCAAGAAGATCAGGTTTTGGTGCAGTTAGAAAAATGCACAGGCATGAAAAAATGTTTAAATTTTTAATTATCTGTAGAAGCAACCTTACACATAATTTATTCTTTCCTTACTCCTTTTTGTGACCTCTGAGAACATCCTGACAACCAAAATAAATCTACCCATCTCACCCCCTGTTAAATTCTCAGTGTCAGGAAAGATGGGACCAACACTCTGATTAACCAGAAAACAAACACTAAAGACTTCTGGAAAAACTTCCATTTTTACTCTTTTTGGCCTCTATGTGAGAACAAAGCTCAGTTGCAGAGAAAAAAAAAAGATTCAGAAGATGCAGTGCATACCAACATGTACCCTGCGGGCAAGAAATGTGGGATTAGGAGAGGGGAATACTTCAGTTCCAAATCTAATCATATAATAACCTAACAACAAAGTCACAGCATTTGTTTCTTATTTCTAGACTAGAAATCCTATTTTAAACCTGAGAAATCTCTCTCTTTGGAAACATTTTTTGAAATGAGTACAATTTAAGTTTCAATCAAATAGAAAATAAGAAAAATGCTGGGAAATTTCCAACACCAGTCAGCCGCAAACTAGCTACGAGATATGATCTAGCCTCAATTCCCGTGCTGTTTCCCTGAGAAACCTTCCTTCCTACGTCCCAAAGTTGAGGATAGCTCTTGGTTACAGTTTTAGGGGCCATATTAGAGTCAAATTGTATGTGTGACTATTCTGGCAACTAGAAAAAATAGGTTATTATGAGCTGCAAATATCAACAGTTAACAGTAATAATTGTGAATGTTGTGTAATATTTGATGGGTCTTTATTATTTGTTACATTACTCAAGTATAAATGAAAGCAAGTGTTGTAGTTGAAGGTACTGCATGACCGTGAATTAGGTTTGAGTGAGAAGAGAGTTAAAGCTGTAGAATTTCCAGTGTAATATAGTGTTGATTGCTTATAAAAATAAAGTAAACGGTTTATTTATTTCCTTTCTATATGGAAACAATTTAGATTTCTAGTCAGAAGGTCAGGGAATGGATTCTCATCTCAGGCTAAATCCAAATAATTTTACCAACATCAAAGGAGCATCCTTAAGTTGACACTGCTACACTCAAGATGAGAAATTCACTCACATTTCTGAGTCTCAAGCACAAGTACTGAAGCACTCGTTTAACCATTCAACTTCATTAAATGGGACACAGAGTAATTACATGCCAACAGCTAGAAAAAGGAAAGCTGCTTTTAACATGCATAGATCCCAGGATTAGACAATCACCAGTATTTCACCAGAATTTCTGCCTGAAGATTGATGCACTGAAATGGAGGTTATTATCATAACCAAACACGGTGCTGGCAGTTCAGGAGGAGAGGCTGTGTGATGTTGACTGTGGTTTCTGCTTCACTGCGCTACCTCACAGTGACATTAGCACATATTTTACATTCTGTGAGGGGAATGCTTCCCTCGTCCTCTCTACCACTTGGAAGCATTGAAGAGATGAGAGCTGACACTTGAAAATACTATAGTGCTCATGATCTCGTCAGAGTATAAGATGGCCTTCTTGGATGCAGAAAATTCAGCTGCCTGGAGTGGTTTTGCTTTGTCCAGCTGGTGTCCTACCATCTCCAGTATGAGCTGAAATACAAAGCTGCTTTCCAGACACCACTGCTTGTTATTCACTTGACTTTACTAGCCTTGTCAGAGTTAATTGGATTTGTGACATGGTCAGATGTTTATTTCTTGATTCCGTTGTCCCTTGCCTTACAGGACACATATGCCAGGAGAAACTACAGTACATCTAACAAATACTAAAAATGTGGAGAGATACATGGACATGCTATCAATGTTTTTAAGATATAAAACCTAAGGAAATGTGACTAAAACATCCTTTATTCTAATCTTTCCTAATATTTTCAATTAGCCTCTGATTTGTCAAAACAATTAAAGCACTCAGGAATCTTTTTGTTTAAATACATTCATGAATCTTTTGACAGGCTAATATCACACTCGTTAGTTTAGTCAGGCATAAATGCCCAAGTATTACTGTAGATGAATACTACTTTGGGGAAGAAGGCAAATAAATCACAGAAATATAAGGTTACACTTCCAGTAAAATCTCTTAGTTTATTAAGTATTAGACAGACCTACACTATTTATTAAAGCCATTGCCTACAGCCATAATTTTAGTACACTTTTCTTTGTGTTAGAACTTTTTATGTCTTGTATATAAGATGACATAGTCTCAGGCTATAAAATAGCTCTTATGCAATTCACTTTCTAAATCTTTCCTACTATTACTAATATATTTTCCTGTAAACTTTTGAAAACACAATGAAAAACAGGTATTAATAACTTTGGAAGAACATCAAGCCATTTAAATCAAAAGACACAAAAGAAGAGGACTTCACTTACATCTGCTGCAAAAGATTGTGAGTCTGGGAGCAGATTCACTAGAAAGAATTTACTCTGAAATGCAATCTATCTGATTACAGAAGTTTTGGTCAGATGAGAGGCCCATACATTGCCTTTGAGAATGGATACATACATACATACAGACAGGCAGACATATAAATACACCTACAGGACTCACAACACACCACAGTGGAAGTCACAGTGGATATACCAAGTCATTACACCAGCCTTTTGTTTGGTCTTGGAACACAAGTAAATCAATCACACTTTGGTCTTCAAAAATGTATAGAAATTGTTGAACATTCCTTTGTATGTTGGCATGAGCTAAATTTCATGTATATGATATTAAGAGGAAGAAGAGAGAGATACATAAACAAAGCATTTAGGCCCATGCTTAACTTTAAATTTGTATCTAAATCCTTGTGAAGTCAACAGCTATGCAGTTGGAGCTATGCCAGTGTGTAGCTGAAAACATGACAATCATGGTATTGTTTTATGCAGTCATGTTGTTATTAAGTTTGCAGGCAGACAACAACGATGCAACTACTTTTAGTCTGCAAATGTTGAGGTATGTGGGTTTGTGAGAAACGTATTAGCAACATTTTGATATTGACAGGTACAAAAGAAATAAAATCAAAGACAAACTACTTGTCATCATTTCAGCGAGAACTGGTGGATATGATTTATCTCTACTTCATTCTCATTATTAGCATAGGTCCAATGCTTTCAATACACATCAAGCTGGGGTAGCACAGATGCAAATCGATTGAGTTTGGTTTCATTTTGGACGACTTATTGAAAGCATCTGCTAAATGCGCAACAAGGTCAACCCTCTCCACTCCAGCATATCACATTAGCTGTGAAACAGAAGAACTAATAACTTATCTTTTAAACTACAGTGCCTCCATCCTTCAAACTGTACCAATTTAGATAAGTCATTGCTCCAACCAAGGAAGGCAGGGTTTGATTTTTCAGTATTACATAAAGTGAAAAGATTATCCATCTAGATTCTGAAGCCATTAATCTGCCTGAGGAGGAACTTCAGGAATGGACCTAATAACTTTTGGGGCAATATATGATGTAAATTAATACTATGATGAAGCAGATCTATCAGAATCTCATCTTTTTCAACATCATTGCTTCTAATGGACAAATTAATTATAAGATACAGTAATTATCTTATGCTCTAGTGTATTGTGTTAATTAAAAATTCTTTATTACATTTCCTTGAGGGTAATTATAAAAAATGTATCACCTCCAGACAACAGTCTATAAATATTTGCTGTATCCTAGTTGCTTCATTACATTAATTTTGTGTCTCTCAATATTGTTACTTAACTTCAGTAAAATGGAGTGGGTTTTATTTTTTTTTATTATTATTGTTTATTTTATTTTTATTTATAGGGACATCTGGTAACACTTACTTTTATACAAACATGAAAAGTTACAGTCCCCAAAATTTCACTAGCTTTGCTCTGTGCTATTAAACTGTACTGTTCCCAGCACTGACAAGATAGAAGAAAATCTATTAAGGTCAGTTTTTATTTATCATTACAGTCCTTCCATAGCACATTATTAATATAAATAGTGCATCAACCACCATGAATCTCTGATTAAAAAAGTGCATGTTAGTCCATAAGATATGGATGAGGTCTGACTGAATCTAAATTAAGATTAGAAATTAAGATTAGATATTTGTAGGAGAAACAGGAATGTCTGTTAGGATAAAAAAAAAAAAAAAAAAAAAAAAAAGCAAGATCCAAGCAAAATCTATTGCTCTGTCAGAAGCCAAATTATGATTTAAAAAGTAACATTCTTCTAGACATGTGATTGCATTTTGTGTTATTTCTACATGTTCCTTGAAAGTAAGACTGCTACAAAGCAGCACGTTGAGTGCATACATCCCTCTTCTCAGATACAAGATCGTCCTTAGTGACAGGAATGGATATGGCCACTGATAAACCTCTTCCTCAGAAAACTACCAAAAGTTGACACAAGATGAAACATCCCCAGACCCAAAAGTTCCTTGGCACGTCACCCTGCGATGCTGAGGACCCCTTGGGTGGCACCTGCGAGGAGGTCCACCCAGCCACCCGCTGTGGAGCCAGCAGCCCTGCAAGTGCTGCCATCCTCGACACAGAGGCAGATGTGTATTTGGGAAGGATGGGCAACCTGCCAAGCAGATGGGTAGATGAGCTGGCAGGGAGCCAGAGAGTTTCTGACAAAAATCTGACAAGCTTGGGTTCCACAGGGTTCCTTATCTACATCATAAAAATTCTAGATCCTACTTGTACCAAAGTACTAAATAGTTTATATTAGGAAGTGTGTTTTATAAAAGTCCATTTTGTCCCTCTCGTAAAGTTCAGATGAAAGTACACATTAAGCAACAAATGCCTCATCAGAAAAATTGACATTGAAACAGGTGGAACCAAATAATCTACCTGGTTACTCAGTGTCAGCTGGTGCCTGCCTAGTGCAGCACTGTGTGTTGTAGAAATTCTGCAGCTACTGCTAAGAGACTAAAGAGATGAAATATCAAAATATCACAAGCAATGAATCTGCTTAAACATGGCACTTCTCCAGGCAGGCTAAGGCCATTGGCAAGCAATGACTACAAATATGGGTGTAAAATGTTATCACTCACCCAAGTTGTGTTGATTTCCCCTAGCTAGAATGAGTAGAAAGGAAAATGGGTTCCAATTCAGTTCGGTATGAGGTTGCTTCAGTACAAACTTTAATCAGTCTCCAAAAGTATTTTAGACATAAAGGAGCACCTCATAATTTTAATGAGATTATATTACTTACTGTATCTGAGCTAGATCCTTCAGCTTGCATTGTGCAGTGCTTGCTTGCTCACATTTTTACAAGAGCAGGTAAATCTACAGCCTTTCAGTTGATAAACAGTATAACAATTAAGTAATTAAGTAATTGAGTAACTACTACATTGTTCTTGGAGTAGCTAAACTCTGAAGAAGTTTAACCGCCTGTCTGCATTAAAAATAAATAAATAAAAATATCTGGGGACTGAAAGTTGAATCAGCGCTGATAAATGCCATTTTCCTGTTGTACCTGTGTCAACGCGTTGCACTCTGACCAGAGAGCTGTCAAGCTATGACCTATGTATTGCTTTACAGCCAGGAGCTGTAATAACTGATAAGCAATGCCGACAGAGTTGCACGCTGTGAATACCTCCATGTCACTGTGTTTGGTTTTCAGTATTCTTCCTTCACCATCTCACAACAAACACAGGATTCTTGCCTCCCCCTAAGTATTATTTAGCCTGAGAGCTAAATAATTTGGGAGCAATGTAGTTTTGTGCAGTGCTGTGTTCATTCATTTCTTACAATTACTAGAGCCAGTTTCAGCTGTTACGTACACTCTAGCTTCAATTTATTTACAGGAACCTATGGAATCTTTTAAGGAAGACACTCAGGCATTCTGTCTTTTGCCAAGAAGGAAGGTAGCAGCATGTACGATACTGGTTTACAGACTAGAATTTATGTTGTACCACTACCAAACTTTACAGAGTAAATATCTGGCAAATGATTTGAACCATGCTGTGACAACAAGCACTCTTAGGGCTTTACTGTTAGCACAGGGGAGCAAGTGTCCTGATTTAAGAATTCTGCTCATCCTCTGTCTTTGGTAGAGATGTTTGCACTTATGAAGAGTAATAGATTGGCAGTTTCTCAAGAGCAAGTTATATTTCTCACCACAGATAAGCATGTCTCATTTCATTTTGGCAACAACAGTTGTTTCTATTCATTTCTGAGCTAAAATCATGTAGTTCGAGTTCAGTGCTTTTTCCAAAGAGAAACCTCATCTTCTATGAAGAGCAGCCTTCTAGTTTTTTTTAGCACATATATTTTACGTCATGCTAAGGAATAATTTGGCTTACATCCCTCTGCCATGTGACAACGTTAGGCCAGGTTCCAAGGGAGAAGAAGTAACACCTGATGACCTAAAATCTGGGGCTCAAGGGAGCCCAGGGAACCAGAAGTGGCACGAACACTGCTTTCTTCTAACACTCTTGCAAAAAGCCTTGTCTCAAACCTTCCATATTCATGTATTTCACAGTATAACTTTTCTGAGTTATGAAGAAAGGGATGGCCAACTTTTCTTCCCAGACAATCAGACAGAATAATAGAGCCAAGAGGCAGACAGTACACATTTCAATGTACTGCTTTGCCATGCACTCTCTGGAGCACCAAGAGAAACTACACATTCCTTCAAGTCTTCTGTTACAGTGATTTTTTCTGTTTGGCTCCCTTTCCTAACAATATCTAGCAGCATCCAGAACACATGCTCATACTACATTAGAACATGATAATAATCCCACAAATGCAGAAAAAAATCTACATTTTGTAGATCTGTAAGCCCTGGCCTTTCCTACCTTTATTTCACGCACCTGTATGAAGCTGAATTTCTGTTTCCACCTTGTATGTCCTTGGTCACCGGCATTTTTCATGAGACAAACAAACATTGCTTCTCTACAAGCTGTAATGGAAAATGGCTGCTAGTTATAAGGAGGATTTCAAAAGTACTTGGTCAACCCAAATCTTCCTAGCAGTTTGCAGCAGCTACAGACAGTATTTCATCCGTCAAAGTGGCAGCAAACACAACATAAAATATAGAGTAGGCCCAATTTTTAGTGTGTCAGTAGAATCAGCCTGCAGTTATTTTTAACTGCCTTGAAAGCTTAGCAGGAAGATACAGTTAATCCCTTAAAGGATTTGCAGGTATTCATAGCTTAATAAGTAAGCATAGTGGATTAAGCCAATAGAAGATTGTAGCCAGTCTTCTAAAGACAACCTTTATGTGCTCATATTCAATAAAATAAAATAAAAAGAACAATGTTATATATACTCTTGCCTGACAATCACTCTCAATTGTCCATATGTGCCAGAATCTCACACTGAGATTAAATAAAAACGTTAATTAGAGACATTAAACTCAACATGTGTGATAATTAAATCATCAAATACCAGTGAATTTTGGGTATCTTATTTTCCCGTTATCCTGTAAATCCTTTGAAAAACAGAACTATATCCTGAAAATGAATTCAAAAATGCATCTACAGTAAAAAATAAAACTAAACCAGTAAAGATTTATTTTGGAAAGAAGAAAAAAAGGAAGGAATTGATTTTAATAGGTCAGATTTTATATTGCTTTTATTCTTCACAGCGAAAAAATTCACACATTATAATGCATCAGGATTCACTGACAGTGTCCAAGCTACGAGAGATCTGGGTTCTTCAGCATATTCATAAACGAAAAGTAGACACGTAATAACAAAAAGACAAATTCAGATGATACAAAATTATTAGCCTGAGGAAATCTAAAGCTGGCTATGAAAAGCTTCAGAGGATGGTTCAATACTGAATGGTGATAAAATGCTAGAGGCTATTTGATATCAGTAAATGCAGTGCACATTAAGAGAGGAAGGGAAAATACACATATGTATATATTCATGTGGTGTTAGTCAGCATCACCAGGAAAGAAGTCTGGAAATATCTCATTGCCTAAAGAGGCACTTAGAAATTACTAAAAATTGTCGGAGAACAAACACAAGAAGTCTTTGCCCTGTATACATTCAGGCCAGAGACACATCATGAATAACATATGCAGTTTTGGTCCTTCAATTATCAAAAAGTTTGCGGCTGAATTAGAAAAAAAAAAGTAAAGGAAGATATGATAGAGATGTATTAAATCACTAATTTTATGGAAAAGGTGAACGGGGAACAATTATCCACTAGCTTTCATAATAAAAGCATTGAAGGCACGAACATTTTACTGGTAATAATAAACTGAATTCATTTCCATTAGATATCATGAAGGCCCAAACTATACGTGAATCAAAGAATTCATGACTTCATGAATTCAGCAGTTCTGTTCAGCAGTCCAGCAGTAACTATTAAACAAAAGAGTCTCCTAGCCACTGAAGGCTAGAAGAACATGATAAAAAAAAAAAAAAAAATTAAAAATTAAAAAATAACTTCAAGCATAACTGCCTCCTTACAATATTTTACTTATTTTACAAAATAAATACCTACTTACTCAGATGGGATCCTAGGTTATGTGGGCTTTTCATCTGGCTGAATTCAGCAGTTCTCAAGTCCTCGTGACTAGAATAAATGAAAAAATGACATATCATTTGGCATATTTTTACAAGAAATTTGTCCAGGACATCTCCAGTTCTCTCTCTATTACTTAAAGAGAATCAAGAATGAACAAAATTGTCTCATAAACTGTACAACTGAAGAAGGCTAGTGTCCAGCATATTTTTAATGTTGTAGTCTAATTACCAGAGAACCCTCTTCTTTCACCTTTCAGTTCTGTTAAATGAAATATATGTACAATGACTGAAATATATGTAAAATGATAAAAGAAGATTATAAAGATTAGAATTAGGACCCTGCTATTCTCAGATTATTCAATAGTGGAATTCAGTTTTGACTCTGCCCCATGAACATAACCACGAAACACGGGAACATAGGGCCAGAAGGGAACTCCAGAATCACTGTGAATGATCCAGTCTTATGCTTGCAGTTGTATCTCTTAATCTCTTTCAGAAACTGACCAAACCCCCTAACTGCTCGATCAGATGGCAGTCCCAGAGCATCTTTGCCCTCATAGAAAAGTCTTTCCAGTTTCTAGATTCAGTGTATTCCTCCTAGTCACTCTTATGCTTATGATTTATGCTCTTATACCAATGCTGTTCCCTTGTTTAAACAGAGCTTTTATATCTCTGTAGGTATATTCAAAGACGGAATACTCTGTACTCACACACCTCTTGTTCTAGGAGCTGTGTAGATGTGCTAGCACATTCCTTTCAAGCCATAAGCCCTGTCACCAAGACAGACAGCCTTTCTCAACATGTATTCAATGCCAAACTAGTGTCACATCTGGAAATAGTTCAGTGGCGGTTCGCTCAACTATTTCTGTACCACAGTTCACTGTGCAGTGCAACTATGCTCCTTATCTCATGTGGTACCCTTCTAATCCCATGGGTCACCAAGCTGTCTTTCTCCTTACTGCCTCTGTTCTGATTTGTCTTTTGGTAATGCGGAATTTCCACAGAACAGATTCTAATTTTCTCACACATATCAAGTTCTTAATGTTTCTATGACAATCTCTGACATACAAAAAAGACTGAAAAGATTGTGGTGTTATTTGCCTAGGTCTTCAATGAGTTTGAACTGGCAGCTTTGCTGGAAATCTTAGCCTCATGAGTCACCACAATGATTCTGAAGATTAATGACGACTCTACTGTGAGAAAGACATCACTTCTTACCATTCTGGAAGAAACACCTCCTTAATATAGTAATGGCAGACTGGTATCATCATCGCAGAGTTCCTAACAGATGCCTGAGAAGAGAAGAAATTCAAATTAAGCAGTAGGAAATGAAGATTAGCTCAACACCTGTCAGTGGTTCTGCTTTTTTTTTTTTTTTTTTTTTTAAACAAAAACCCCACAGTCTATCTTAATTCCTCACATGTTCCAATTTTCCCCTGTGTAGTCCATTTTGCTAAGCTAGCCTGGACTAAGCTAGTTCCTTCTCTGGCTCTGTTCCACACTGCAGATTTGTTATCACGACTCACTCTTACTAACAGATACTGCACAGACTTCAGGAAGCCTGCCACTTACCTGAATGAACACTTCACTTTCACATTAGTTAGTACTTCTTTTAAATTGAGGAAGGGCAGTGATCTAGGACTGGGAATGAGAGCAACTGCTTGGACAGCAAGCTCTATTTTGACACAATCATGAAAGGAAGACCAGCATGACTATCTGCATACATGCTAAAAACAAAAATAAATCTGAGGGCAGAAAAGGGCTCCAAAACACAGGGAAGCAGGAAGAACTTTATCACAATGTGAAGACAGCACAAGAAGCTCCAGGATGCCAGTGGCTCAGAGTGACTAGGCTGACAAGGAAATGAGGGATATCCCTATGTTTTATAGATTAATTAGCATGGTGAGAGGAAAAGTGCTGTGAAAGACACAGTGAATTAGGAAAAAGGATATGTTGGAAAAGAATTAAATGGAGAAACATTTTAAAAAATCTGCCCTTCTGCTCATATTTAAATGCTGGTACTGGATATAACCACATAACAAGACTATCATATATGAAATATTTATTCCTATGGAAGTTATATAAAATATTACTGAAGTCACATATGAAGACTGCATATATTTGCCACAATATGAAACCACAAAATGTTTATTTTTAAAGCAATTTGTTATGGCTACAACTTGCAGCCTTTAACATATATGTATTTTGGAAATCTGTAACACATACCTGAAATCAGACTGTGTAATTAGACGGAGTTTAATTTGCCTGTATTTGCCCTGGCAGAGGAAGCAGCGTAGTGGTCCTTCCTCACTCCCTTTCTGCTGTCGTGATGGATGTCCTTCTGGCACTGTATCTGGCTTCTGTGTTCCTCATGCGCTGAAGAAATGAATGAATAAGAGGAAGCAGCCTGCAGAAACTCTCTGTGATTGATCTTTCTTTCAGGCTTACTTTGCATTGCTGCAATACCTCTACTGTAAAAGAGGTTTCACTTGACTCAGTAGAAGAGAAAAATCAACCCTGCGATGTGTCTCTCTGCCACTGAATCCATATACCTATGCATACACCCCTAATGCTCCCGACTGGCATTTCAAATGTCTGTTCAGAGACAAAACAAAGCAATCAGAGATTTCAGATGCAATCTGAATGACATGAGCCAGACAAATTCTTCAGCTGAAGTGCTGCTGTTAATCTCTTTCCAAACCGCTGAACGTTGTGTTAATAAACATCAATATTCAGTTTCAAAACCTTAGGAATATGTGGCTGAAATAGTTACTGTATCCCTGCAGTGAGGGGTCAGCAAGTTTCCACCACAAATCATCATCTTAAACACAAATGCAACACTGGCAGCTTGTAAACAACCAGGGGAAAAAAAAGTTAAAGTATGCTCAGCAACATCCAGTGAGGAACAGAATGCAGGAAAACAAACAAACAACAAACAAACAAACAACAAAAAAAAACCACGAATGTCTTATAAAACATGTCATGTTGAATAAAACAACATTTTTTCCTTCCTTTATTTGATTTGGTACTGTTCTCACCCAGGCAGTCTTGCTGTGAATGAGTTTCATAGCACAGTACTTCCCTGAAGTAAAATACAATCCTGTGATCCTTTTTCTTCACCTTGGCAAGATTCTTGCCAAAGTAAGGTGAGATTGTTTCATTTTGCCATGAGGTGCAAGATTTTTGCTTTTATCGCGAGTAAATAGACGTAAATAAATCTATGAAATATTCTGGTTTGAGTGATAAGAGGAGAGTGTTTGATGTTAAAGCCTGAATCACATACCATTGAAAACACATTCAATCACATACCATTGAAAACTTTAAATTCAGATAAAAGAATATTATTTTAGAAGACCGGTCAATCCTCAGCCACATCTACAAACCTGCTGCCATCATACAGGGTTTAAGAATTAAAGCCAGGCCTTTCACTTGAGCGCAGCTTCACCGAGAGAAGGGCAGGGAGAAGAAACTGGCAGGTGCTGGGAAAGGGACAAGAGCGAAGCATCTGTTCCTGTGGGGATTTTTCTGTCCTCCCACACATTAAGGGGAGAGAGGCATATGAAGAGTGCACAGCGTTTATTTTTAGCCAGTCAGACAAAGGGCCATCACATTGCTCCGTCTCAAGGATGGCTACAAATGCCTGGTGCTAAGATCTGATTTTTTCCCACTCATGTTTTGATTTTTTCCCCTTGCTTTGTAAATGTTATCTTGCATTGCCCAGGCACATTTCTAATATATATATTCCTGGCACACTTGGTTCAAACCTGCTACATAGCAGAATTTTGCACATAGCACCTCTCGATACAACATAAGGATGTATTTCTTCAGGATTTAAATAAAAGCCAAAAAACATAAGCCTCCTTCCACTCTAAAGAACCTTCATAGCTCTGTTTACTGAATATATAGAGATATATTTCAAGGTTTGCTTTCAAGTGAGAACTCTTACTGCTAGTATTACTCTCCTTATCACATTAAAAGCATTAAAAAAAAAAAAACCTTCTTAAGAACTGTGAGGCAATCCTAAGGCAACTATTAACCATCTCGTTCCCTCTATTGCCAATTTTTGTTTTCTATTTGTTTTCTATTGGGCTATATTTTTTTCTATCAATTATCAGATTACATTCACAATTTGTTAATATTAACCAAAGTAATCCACTTTGTTCAGTTCAGAGGATGAAGAGGATTTTAACAGGCGGTTCTACTGAAAAGGACATAATTCTTAATTGAGATATTACGCATAATTCAGAGAAATAGAAATACAGAAAAGAGTATCTCCCTCCACCATATGAAACAACATACCACTTAGCTAAAATAGCAGTTTCTAACCCAGGAATTTAAGGAAGTAGACACATATTTCTGAGCTCTGTAGACCTACTGGACTTTTAAAGAGAAAAAATGGAAGGAATAGCATAGGTTTGTGTAAATAAAATAAACATATTCTAAACTTTTTGACTGAATGTGCCTTGAGGGGGATGTACCTGGTGTCCCAAAGGGCAGGCAAGGCACTCAACTCTTGGTTGCTCAGACCCTGCAGGGTTGTCTTCTATGCGTGCATAGCAAGCACATATTTTTACTTGTCGGGTATATAAGGCACATTTTAAATCCCACTGATTCCAAGTAAATTTCAGGGTGGGCTATGTTTAAGGTGCTCTACTACATCAGCTGCAGAATGCTAACTAGCTTAGATTAAAGAAATAAAACACTGTTCCTGTGAAAGAAAACTCCCTTGTCTCCTTTGCAGCAGACCATAATACTCTGCTTCATAAAATTACAATTGGCCACGCACATTTTTAAAAATTCACGATGAAGTATGCAGAGAAGAAATGCAGAAGTGGCCACATTGCTGTGCACTCTACAGAACCTTAGATCACCAGCCTGCCAAAACACATCACTGGATGAGTAACATGACTTGCACTTGGTCAAAAGAAAAACATAAACGTGTTAGACAAAACTGGTCATTGTCTAATATTTCTTATGGATTAATTCCATTAAGTCTCCCAAAGTGTGGTTGCTATTCTCAAGTATTATTCATACCATTCACAATAGGAAATTTCAGCATTCAGGTTGAAATACTCACCCTGTGCTGATGTTGTCCATTTGCAATTTGTGCTATTGTTGATTATTCAGCTAAGTCAAACAGTATTTTTTTTTCCATTTCCTAAAGGAACAATTTGAGCGTTGTAAACATGAAAATAACCAGTGATTCACTTTCAAGATACAACAAAAAAGCACTTTCAAAAATCATTTAACATCTTCATGAATGCTGCCTGAATGTTAATCACACACAAATTCACATCAACAAATGATGACAAATCACACTCGTCTTTTTCTTTTAAAGGTTTGGTTTTGTACTTTTAAATAAACTATAGCCAAAGGCAACAATGTATCTTGCTGGAAATTCTACTTTTTTCATTGCTGCCTTTTCAAAGAGATGCTTTCTGCACAGCGAACTACTAGTGCGTATTGAGCGCTGTGACCTTTATGATTTTGATTTCAACAACAAGGTCAACATTGCTAAGAAGACAGTTTTGCCTTAAAGGCAAAATCTCTCCAACAACCTAAAACGAATCTTTTAAATGTAATTGAACTGTAACAATTCATTTCCATAGGCTTATGAAAAAAGTTGCCTTCTAAATTTGCAACCAATTTCATAGTATTTGGTCATTGACAATACATGCAGACAGAGAAGCTAGACCTTTACTTTGGGGATTTTGCGCAATGTTAATTTCAGACAAAAGTTTTTTACATGAAGACTGATGGCCAACAAGCAGAGGAATATAGAATAGCCAGCGCACATCAGAAAGCAAGAAAGGCACAGAACACATGAGAAACCAAGCCCCCACTGCTGTGAACACTAACAACTGTGCACAGGAGGTGTCTTCCCCTGATGGTCCCCCCTTGGTCAGCACAGTGCATCTCGCTCAAAGCTGTACAGCTGACTCCTCTCAGGGTCTGCACTCTGGCATCACCCCAGGGCAGCTCACAGAGAAATGTGGATCTTGTCATTAAGCCATGGACAATCTCTTTTTCAAGTTAAAACTGTCACTAACAATCAACGCCTGAAATAAAATTGTCATCATAATCGATGGACATAGTTCTTCATTTTGTATGTCTTGCATAGTCAGACCTACCTCTGCAAGTGTAAATACAACTCCATATAAGATACCAAATCAGAATGCTAATTTTCCGCTTGGATATACATAGACATCACAATATTTTAAGAAAATACATTCCAGACTTGTAACTTGAAAACTTGCAATTTGATACTGGGGAAAGATATTTAATGTGCTTGGGTAAATCACTACAGGTTGGGTGAGGCAGCAGAAAATGAGGCTTTTGCATTTGCTGGACATCATTGTCATCAGCTCCTGTTTGCAGTTTTCTTTGGAGTAAAGGCTGCATGAAGTGGTTGTTCCCATATTTTCACAAGATCATCTTTGGCAGACAGAAAATTATCTTACAGGGGAAGAAAGGAAATAATGTTTTGTAGATTTTCTTTCTTATTCTGTCATTACATCATCTCTGTTACAGGCTTTTTCTAAATTTCCTCCTCCCAGCATGCGCACAGTTGAGTACGAATAACACTCACTGCACAGCAGCCCTGCTTTTTATTCAAGATGCTGTATCAGCGTACTACCTAGTTGATGAAGACTTGATTCTATCAGTGTTTGTTTGAATCTCGCTGTTCTTTTTTTTTTTTTTTTCCCCAAACTATCCTGAGAGCAGGATGACCAAGCATTTCCCTTTTCACTTGTCTCTATTTTCTGAGAGCGAACTAAAACGGAGAGGAGGAATAATAGGAGGGAGGGATTGCTTCTGGTGAAGGTAGCAAATACATCAGCCAACCATCATCAGAATTGTCAGGTGGGAAAATCTGGTATGTGAATCCTCAGAGAATTTCCACTGCACACATCTCTCTCAAAGGAACACGGCAAAATCCTCCATTACAAGAGGATGAGATGGTGAAAGCCACCTTAAAAAGGCTCCACAGTGAATGGATGTCAGGGGAAGGAGGAGGGGAGAAAGAAAAGAGGTGGTCTTTTCTTTCACTGTGACTAAGCTTTGGCAGATTTGCAATCACCAGATACATTTTTTTTTTTTTCCAGCTAGCAACATTAACCTCCGTGAAAACAGAAGGGCAGGAAAACTGCACCATCTTTTCTCAGCATCAATATGTTCCCTGCTCAGCACAAAACAATATGTTCTTCTTATTATTCCACCATGTAGTCTTTTATTTTCTATAACTTTCACGTATTTAAATACTACTTGCTGTCATCCACATTTTGTTTTCAAAAAAGACCTGGGGGAATACCATTTACATACCTCAATTTAATATAGGTCACATGCAAACAATATATGGCTAATTTATTTGTCAAGCAAAACACAAATTGTGTTAAAACCAGTATCATCCCTTTTAGCTGAAGTAGATAGCTAAAATTTGGGGGCTTGGAAGTTGTTTCAGTTAAGAGATGTATAGCAGGACCTGCTGTTTTGTTGCTTTAAGTTATTTGCAAAGGATATGAAGAGAATTGTTTCTCTGAGAAAAGCAGAAATCAAACAAGAAGTTTAGGTTCTCATAATTCCAGCTCTCCCTATAAGCTAAAGCTTGCTTTACTGCTTCCTTCCTTTTGCTGCAAACTGCAACTTCACTTGCAGCTGAGCTGACCAGACGTTTGCCATCACAGAAGGGCCATACCCACCCCACTGCTTCCTTAATTCATCCCTCCCTCTGCCTTCTGCTCTTCCCACTTTCCTACTATATAAGCAATTTTGCTCCTTGCCCTCTGCTCTGGCTCTGCCACTTATCAAGCCCTTTCCACAAGCTGATTTAACTTGCTAAATTAGAAAAGTTCTGCCTGTCTAGTAATCATTTTTCTGCTATTTTAGTGATTTATATCAGTTCACACAACAGTGAAGAAGACCAGAAATAACAGAAGAGGATTCATGGCAAATGATATGGAGGGAGGGGAACAGATGGGAGCAGAAACTCCTTTTTTTGGTTGTGAAATGTTAAAATGCTCTGCTCTCTTAGGAAAACTTTAGTTCATGCAGCAAGCAGTTTTTCCTTGGTGGCTTTTCAGCAGCATTGTTCTGTTTCCTGGTCACTGTTTAATGGATGAGGAACCTTCACCAAAACTTTGCCATTTTCTGTACCTTGTCTACAACAAAATACGTCTAATCAATAACTGGGCATCCATTATGATGAATTCAGTATACTGGTCTCACTGTTTCAATTATTTATACCTGAAGGACCTTGCCAAAATTTGTTTTCATGAATTGTGAACTATAAGTTCTGGTTTGCACCTGATCTCGGCTAAAGCAACAGATGAAAGGAACATCCTCAAGTTGTGCAAGGGGAGGTTTGGGTTGGAAATGAGGGGAAATTTCTTCTCAGGAAAGGTGGTTAGGGGTCGGAATGGGTTGCCCAGGGAGGTGGTGGAGTCACTCGTCCCTGGGGGTGTTCAGGGAGAGGTTGGACGTGGTGCTTGGGGACACGGTTTGGTGGTGCCATTGGTGGTAGGGGGGTGGTTAGACCAGGTGATCTTGGAGGTGGTCTTGAGCTCTGTAGGGTGTTAAGCGGTTCAGGTGTTGCTCCCCACAAGGTGTGCGAGCACCCTGCTCCCCCCAAGCCCCGCCTGAAGCCTGTCCCCCCCTTCCCCACAGGGGCCGGGGCTGCCTCAGGGAGCCGCACGGCCGCAGGCCCGGCCCCGCCCGCCGACATCCGGGCTCCTGGCGCCGCCGCCGCCCGCCCGGCGGCTCAGGGAGGCGGCGGGGCGGGGAGGCGGCGGCCGCAGCAGCGAAGATGGCGGCGGCGGCGGGGAGAGCCGCTTCCTTCGGTGCCTCCGCGGCCGGCCTGGGCTCAAACGCCGGCCTTCTCCTCGGCTGCGGCCGGCGCCGGGGCAGGCAGCGCCGGCCCCGCGGAGCTGCGGGCGGGGGGCGATGAGGACGACGGGCAGAACCTCTGGTAACGGGGGGCGGCGGGGCGGGGGCGGGGGGACGCCGAAACCCGCTAAAATCCCCCCAAAATCCCAACCTCCGCGGCCCCCTCGTTCCGTTTCTCGTTGAGGGGACGGCGGGGGCCGGGTGTGAGCGGCTCCCCCCCGGTGATCGCTGTCTCTGTGCCCCGCACCAGGTCCTGCATCCTCAGCGAGGTGTCCACGCGCTCCCGCTCCAAGCTGCCCTCGGGGAAAAACGTCCTGCTGCTGGGTGAGGCCGCCCCTCCTTCCTCATCATCATCCTCATCCTCTTCAAAATCCTCCTCCTCCTCTTCCTCCGTGTGCCCCCATCCCCGCCCAGCCGGCTTTGGGGCGCAGGGGGGAGCGGGCGCCTTCATGCATGGGTGTCTGTGTGTGTGTGTGAGGGGGGGATATCACAGCTGGAGGGCTGCTGGGTGCTGCTACCAGCAGGTGGATCACTAAATCAGCGGCTTCGCCCCTCCTTTGTCAGCCTTTCCAGCCCTGCAGGGAGCTCTGGTCAGCGTCTGGGGGCACACTCATAACCCTGCACACGGTTACGTGGCTGCTGTGCGCCTGCTGATTCTCCTTAGCCTCGTGGTTTATATTTCCTTGAGTTCTTTCAGGCGTGTTTTTTCTTCCTCCACACTCCTAAAGCCGTCGCTGCGACCCTTTGCTTCCTATCTGGAGAAGTCAAGTGGTGGCCTACAGCGTCTCGTGAAGGAGAAAATTGCGCGAGGGCTGTGGGCTGGCCTAGTGAACCTGTTACATCCTTGCCCACTGTTTGTTGCTTTTTATACGGTACAGCTAAGGAGGCTTTCGAGATCGAAAGGTTGTGTTGATGTTAAAGAAAGGAGAGGTTGCATAACGATTGACAGCTTTTTGTGGATACTTTAAAATTAAATTGGACGACTGTACTTCTTGAAACTTGCATTTCCTTTTTCTTCAAGCTGTGATCCTTGCCAAGAAGATTACATTCTTGGCTTTTTGGCTCTTCGTAGGCTACTGTTCAGGATACTGGCGATCTGTAATTCTCAAATTGAGACTGGACTTCTTTCAAAACTAAAGAGGGTATCATGAATGTTTTCAAGCACTCATTTAGCTTATGTTTAATTTGCTGCACAGAAATATGCTATTCTCTCATTTACGTAGAGCTTACTGAATGACTAAACCTAGCACTTAACTCATGCTTTTCTTGTTTTGTTTCTTTTCTTTTTTTTTTTTAAACAAGATGCGCAGATTTGTAGAAGAAATTCTAGTGCTTTCTCAAGAGTTGTATTTTCTAGAAGGATGCGGTCCAGAAAAAAAAAAGTTTGGCATGTATTTAGGAAAAAGAGCATCAGATCTGAGGACTGGCCAATGAGGATTGTGGTCATGTTTTTTGTATGAATATGTAATCTATGTATTCTCTTGGCTGATCGTTTGCAAGCCAGCGTGCTGGCCCTGAAGTACACTGCCTCTGGAAAAGGAGAGGTCGCGTGTATTCTGTACTGGCCCGCTTCAGGTGTGCAGTATGTGAAGTTTTGTCTCTTCAGGTTCTTGAGCTGTGTATTTGCTATTTCTCTGTTATCTCACACTTCCTCTATTTTTGAGCTTTCTTCCTTTAATTAGTTTTCTACTAACTTTTGTTCTTAGTGTGGATCACTTCTTGTCATGGCTACTTCCAGCTGCATCACTCTTAGAATACTTTTAAGCAGCAGTTGTAAAGCTGCTGATGAGAATTGACAGCTCTCACTGTTTTGAGTTAGAGGAGTTACAATATTTACAGTATAAACAGTGTATTTGTCAAAATTTCCCAGTTGAAACATGATTTGTAGCAACAAAGTAATGCTTTTTGATATGAACTGCATCTTAAAAAAAAAAAACAAAACAAAAAAACAGCAACCCACACTTGGTGTTTTTTCTTTTGCCAGGACACTTTTTTTTTGGATTTGCCTGCAGCATTTATATTTTTCCAACCCTATATATACTTGTAAGCCTAATTGTTCTGGGAGCCTGGTTGTTGCAGGCATGCTAATTCTGCTATTTCAGCAATTTATTTTCAGCTTTGTTAACATCTCAGTTTTAAGAACCTGGAAAACCTTTTAAAACATCACGAAAATAACTAGAGGAAAGCAGAATGCCAAGTGTTAATCTCTGGATAGGACACGTTTTGTGAAGTGAAAGTTACCATAATACTGATAATTTTCTCCTCAAAATCGTCAAAAAGCAAACGAAGGCCAACCTACAGTTGTAGGTCTCCGATATTGTTTCATTTTTTTTCTGTGGAAACTTCAGGTTTTGGCAGCACATGTAGTATAAAAGCATTTTTCCGTTATTGTATGAACAAATACTAAAAATGCAATCTTCCCTAAACGTTTCTGTACAGCAGGCGTGCTCTGATTCATGGGCAGCTCTGTCATAGTGACGATAGCTACCTCATTTAGCAAATTATACCAGCAGAGAACATAAGACAGTCCCTGCTTTCTGAAGGAAATGGGGTGCTCTGGTTGCCATTTCTAGCTACTATTTGCAGATAGCCAAAGGCTTTTGTTGCTGGGATATATTTTTCCCCTCTTCTGCTGGTTTGATTTTTCTGATCACTTACGTAGTAAAGATAGCTGATCAGAAGAGAGTGATGGTTTTTGTCAAGTATGATGACAAAACTGATGCTGACAACTGGGAGCACTCATGCTCATTGCCTTCCTGCTGTAATTACACCTGAATCAGCAGGTGGAATAGATGAGACAGCTAAAAAGCCAAGACTGCGGGTTGTGGATGGAATCCATAGCACTGCACAATGTGTGAAGGGATGAATTCAGAGACCAAGGCTAGTCAATAATTCAATCAATTGCAGCACGTGTTCAAGCAGTAATATTCAGAATCATTCCAGGATGCACAAGCAAACAGGCTCCCTAGCTTGCAAGTGAACTGAATGGCTGCTTTCTATCAGGCTGCACATTTTCTTTTTTACCCCAGACATCTCACTCTGCAGGGCCAGGCCTGTTTGTTTGAATCTCTGAGCTCAGCTCCTGGCCAAGGGCTGTCAGGATGCTCGAGGAGTTCCCGCAGTCCACAGCTAATTTACAGGTACACTTTTCTGTGTGCACGTGTTTGGGAAATTACTGTTATTGTGGGAAGCTGCCGCATCTCAAGGAGCTGTTTCAACTTGCTGCTTTCATTTAGCGGACCCTTGAACTATAGCATGCTTCAACATTCAACATTTAAGCATTAAACAGCAAATTGTCGTGAGAGGATATAAAATCAACATTAAATCTGCTTACTTATTATTTAGTGTTGAGCACAAATTTACTTTTCCATTTGATTTTTTTTTCCCTGTTCAAATAGCTGAAAGTTTCGCTGTGATCATTTCATCATTACAGTTGATGAAACATCGCTTGCTGATGGAATCCTGATCATTCATCTCAAATGCTTCTTAATTCTCTAGTCCTGCAGTTGTCAGATAACTTTTCTTCCTCTTCAAATCTAAACTTGCAACCTTTTCCACCCTCTGCATGAAATGAAAGTCTTCCAGATGTAAGACAAGTTTTATTTCAGTCAACAGTTATAGTTCTAACGTGCCAATTGTTTTGTGGGACACTGACCTAGGTAGTATTTTAATTGTTAGCTTTGCATCTACATTTCTTAGAACCCCAAATGTACTTTGGGGGAATGTTCTTCCTGCTATAATACGTTTCCAAAAAGCCAGAATTAAATGAATGTTGTGTAGTAAGCCTTATTTAGTCAGAACCAGCATGGGAAGTTCTAGAATTGTTGAATTGCATTTATTTAATTTGCCTGCTTTGCCAGAGGTGCTGCTGATTACTGGATCTCTCTCAGAAATAGCTCGGAAGGTGAGGATCGTGGAAGGAATTGTGTTTCTGTGTTCTCCAGGTAGGATAGTGACAGGAATACCAATAAAGACATCCCTTCAATACCAGCACAGGATTATTCTATTTCAGTAGTGAGCCTGGGTAAAATGCACTAGATGACTTACAGGACTTAGTAGGTGATGTTACAGGTGGCTCAGTGCTTGCATTCGAGATGTGTGCTGCTCATACTCGTAGAAATTTCTGCAATGTTTGGCTTTCTCTGCCTTAGGTTTTTCCAAGCATAAGTAACACTGCTGTACCTGTTTCCACGGTCAGACCAGGTGTTCTTGTGTTGCAGGACTTGGCAAAAGGCATGCTGGAACAGTTGTCTACGGTCTGCTTTCCATCATGTTATGCAGAAACGCAATTACTGTGCTCCTGGTTTAATTTTGTACTGCCACAAAAAAAAAAAAAAAGCAAGTGAATGATATGTGAGGAAAAAGGTGCGTTCAGTGGAGTAGAACAAACTCAGAGGAGGAAGGTTTTTGTCTAATGAGTAAATTCTAATTTAGTGGCAAGTTATTTGAAGACTTGGTAGCACTTATTTATTGTGAACTTGTGTGTCGTTTTTGAGGAATTCTGGGGAGGAATCTCATCAGCATAATTAATTTTGTGCCTCAACTCTCTGAAAGCAAACTAAATTTGGCTTACTCTGATTATTTTGGTCTTGCTCTGCAAAAGGCATTCTTCAGTTAGTATAGTATGTGTAAACAAGTCTCTTTCACTAATATGAGGCTGTGGAAAAGGCAGTTATTAGCCTGTGCTTGAGAGAAGTGTTTATCTTGAATGTAGCTGTAGTACACATGCCCTTGACTCTAGCAGGAAGGCTGTTGTGTCTCCACTCCTCTGGATTAAGCTTCAGAAATTCCACGAGGTGTGGAGCAGAGATCAGTCGCTCTGTGACTCTGGGAAAGCTGCTTTGCCTGGTTTGATAACTCAATTTCAGCTTTGACTTTGCTCTATCACATTTAAGAGAGGTTGGCTTTCTTCTATCAATACAAATATCTGGTGTTTTATTAAACGCTGTGAATCTTCCTACCCAAAAACTGTCTTTTTGTAAAAGCATAAAAGGTAGTTCACAAAAAGAAAACCACAACCTTTTTCTAGGGGAGGGAGAAGATTAACTAGGACCATTGTCTGTAGTTTTGCTTGGCTGTGCCTGAATATTGTTTTTAGGGATGAGTTGTAAAACTCCCATATGAGGCTGGATTTTAATTGATATTTTTAAAAAAGCAAACAACAAAATCCATCAAAGAGCCAGTGCCGTTATGATTACACATGTTGGATGCATCCATGGCTTTCCAAAGCTGTTGAAAAAAAATCAGAGCCCCTAACGTAAGAGGGACATACCAACAGTGCTGATGACAGAAAGGAAAGGTTTCACTTTTTCTTTGCTGCCATATATTTCAATCATACTTGACAGTTTACAGTGGAGAAAATTTAAATGAGAAGTCCAATGGCTGTCCTGGAGATAATAATTGTATTTATGGCGACTCCTTGTATAGGCTTCTGTGAGAATTCAGTGTCCTGCTTGTTTTAAGTGTCTTGCTTGCTTGTTTTTTGTGCTTCCTTTCTCTTGGAGGTCAGGAGCACAAGGATGGGCACCACGTTGCCCTTCCTGGTGGGAGCAGCACCGTGGACGGAGATGCTTTGACAAGCACAAAACCAAGCTCAAGGAGCTCATGGGAGGAGGAAAGGAGCAGTATGGGGAGAGAAATGAAACGCCTTTTGTTTAGTTGAATGAAAGGCTTTCCATTTGGTTAACAAGACAGCGAAACACTGTGTGTAAACAGATTGTTTTGACTTAGTTTCAACTGCTTCCTAGCCTGACTTTTCCAGAAGAATTACATCTGTTGTCCCTCTTGTGTTTGTGTTCTGCTGTGGTGTGCAGCACCGCTTGCTGGCAAGCATGGCTTCTGTTTCTTCACTGTATTATTAAAGTACAAGTGCAGTATGATGTGATGAAGAGCTTTAGTTCTTCAAGATTTATTTTGGAAAAGGAAGATCTTCTATATTAAAAAAACAACAGGATGCAATATCTTAAATTTGCATCTATCTACCTGAGTTTTATTCTACTTTGCAGTTCTGTATCAGGAATTGTGTGTTGGAAACTACATGACCTTACATGTAGAAGTTGGTTGTTAATCTGATTGTTGAGTGCTATAGAAATAAAGAAGCCAAAGGATTTTCTATCTCAATCTTGGAAGAGGAGTATGATGATTACTCTACTTGGAGGTGCTTAGTCCTTTGTCTTATGAAGTATTTTAGTAGAGCTTTAAAATCAACTATAAAACAACTTGTTTAGGAGAACAAACTTTTGTTTGAAACTAAGCAGCATTGCTTTTTCTTGTACTTCACAGACATCTGGAGATAACAAAAGATATTCTTAAATATATTCATTTTTGTAATGTCGTGCCATATGTGTGTCTGTATATAAATACTCTTGTTTAGGAATAAATGAGTATATGCACACATTCTTATAAGTGCCTGGCAGCGTTTACACTAATTGCATTACCGTGCATTACCCATCAAACCTAAAAGAGCTAATAGATTTTAATTTCATCACAAATATTTTCCTCTGCCTCTGGCAGACAGAAACTTCATACATACTAAAATATTACTATAAAAGACTTTGAGTTTTGAGAGGTCCTAAAAGTTAGCATTGCATGCAAATAGATTTTTTTCTAATAACTATTCAGGAGTTTTAGATGAGCATTGTTTTAAGATTTTTCCTTTATATTAATGCTGAAAAATAACTACAAATTAAAATTACATACTGCTGTTTCCCATCATGACTTTATCTATTCAAGATGTGTTGAATTTTCAGGAGATTTGTTTTGAAGATTTTAGGTTGGAAAAAACCAGCAAAGATACAAATATGTTTTTGCAGCTGTCATGGTTTTTTTTGGATGTTGCATACACTTTTAAAGAAAGTTAGATGGAACCTGAAGTCTTAGTTGATTTGTGTAGGCAAGGGGGAAAAAGTCCTTATGTCATATGTGATGGTCCTGTTATTCCTTTGACAGCTTTTTCAGAATATTGATTGTAATTTGGTTTATGAATATTTTGAGGTGATTGGGTCACCTGTGGAGTAGGGCACATCTGGGTAGGCAGCTGTCATGCACCCTTGAGAGTGAGTAGTCGTGTTTGTAGACTGCTTAGTTGATGCATTGCTTGTTTTGAACTGCTTGTCAGGATGCCTTTTAATGCTTTTCCCTGTGTATATTTTGGTTTCCCTTATACCATCTGCAATCTTCCCTATTCTCTTCATTGACCTGAGTAATTAGTTAAAGTAATTGTGAGCCCTTTAAGCCCCAGTGATGCATCATTCTGGTTTTGTAGTGAGTGATAAGCACTACTCTCTGCATGCAGTAACTTGTAGGATAGTTATATGTGCCAGTGATCCACCTACCTGATCTTGGTGTTTTGAAATGGGTGGATGTTTGATAAGAATGTTCTGATCAGGCTTCACTAATTCCATGATGAGAGGCTGAAATGAGTACTTGGAGAAGAGGCAGGCTCAGGGGAGGCCTTATTGCTCTCTACAGCTACCTGAACGGAAGGAGTGGGGAGCTGGGGGTCGGCCTCTTCTTGCAGATAACCAGCGATAGGACCAGAGGGAATGGCCTCAAATTGTGCCAGGGGAGGTTCAGGTTGGAAATGAGGAGACATTTCTTCTCAGAAAGAGCAGTCAGGCATTGGGAAGGGTTGCCCAGGGAGGTGGTGGAGTTACCATCCCTGGGGGTGTTCAAGGCAAGGTTGGACGTGGTGCCTGGGGACACGGTTTAGTGGGTGACATTGGTGGTAGGGGACTGTTGGACCAGGCGATCTTGGAGGGCTTCTCCAACCTTCATGATTCTGTGACTCCGTACTGTGCATGCGCATGTGTTCAAAGGCACTAATTTTACATCCAGTCAACCTGTCTTATGCTGTTCTGATACATATTTCTGTGTGTGTGCTGAAGATAATTACTGGGAAATGTTAGGAGTGATAATAAAAGTCTTTTTCCCCAGAGGGAGGTTTACAGCACTGAATTTGTCTTTACTTCAGCTGTTAGGCACCATGGGGAGTAGCAGAGCACATAACACAGCCATGAAAAGGGGGCTTGTGGGATGTAGATTTCAAGTTTGTCTATATTGTTTAGCTTGGGCTCTTTAAAACAACAAACTTGTACAGATAGCATTGGTGCAAGTATGGCTTAGTTTAGACTTCTTGAGTGTACCTTTGGAAATGGTTGGAATTTTTCATAACCACAGATGTTTCTTAGATTTAAGTTTTAGGCACTTCTGTTAAGAACTGGCAGATGTAGTGTGCAGAAGGTGCTAAACTTTCCCAACACAAACAAGTTGTAATCTTTCTTACCACATGTGTAAAACAATAGAAGGCAAGATAATGTAGCTAGAGGTCAGCTATCCTGAGAAACTAGGAAAGCTGTGAAGTGCAATCCTCTGCAAAAGGAACAACATTTTGTTTCGTCTCTTGAGAAGTCTGATGGCACAAATGAATTGAAGGTACCTTCGTGTGTGCTTTTATTACCTGGTGAAATGACAGAATGACTCGGACAGATACCTTGGCAGAAGTAACAGCACCTTCAGCAGCACAGCTTGCCAGTGTAACAGCTCGTAGTAGGGTCTCCTCAGCTATTTCTGGGTGACAAATAGAAGAAATTTGGATAAGTACTTGGGTGAGGGTAAGGGAGCAATTATATTTCATCTGTGGTGAAGAAGCTTGAGTTCTTCACTTTTCAGGCAGAATTTCTTGTTTGAAAGAATATCCTCACAAGAAGAGGAACACTGATGAACTGAAAATAGCTGTCCTTTCCAGTGTTTCCTGTAAATTACCTGTGATTGTGTTTTCTTAGGTGCATCTAAATTTAATAAATATAAGGACCTAGCTAGCTAACTTTTTCAGATAGACAGAGTTTAACTGATACAACTTCATGTTTCAGTTTTAACTGCTCTGCTGTTATCCAGATCTTGTACTTCAATTCTGGTCGTTTTCTCTTTACTTAATGGAAGGAATTTAGTATTTAAAGAAAAGTCGTTCGGGTTAATTAGAGTAAATAGTTATTATGCTTTCTGGCTAGCTTCTACACTGTCAGTCAAATCTGAACCTAAAGTTGAACTCTAAATTGAATAGTTTCATGTGATTCTCTCTGGAATTTTATGTTGGGGAAATTCAACGCCAGTTCATCTGCCACCTTTTCTGCTCTCTTCAGTGGTTATACCTATGGTATTCTTAATGTAGCCATCATGCTTGTCTAGAAGATGATGGTCAAGTTCTTTTGAAGGGGAAACTTCAGTATATGTAACAGTGAAAATTACTGTCCTTGAACTTTTATTTTTTATGTAGTGTTTATATTTACAGTTTTGCTGTATAGGAGAGTCAAATACTCTGTTTGGCATGAAGCTGATAAGGCCCTTCTTAGGAAGCTGCTTTTAATTTTATAACCTGTGAGCGAGTTCCAAGAACTTACTAATGTCTGTCCTCAGTAACTCTTAGGTACCCATCCTCCTATTAAACTAGAGAAGCAGAACCCTGATCTGACTTCACATTTGGTTTGATGACTCTTTCAAACTGGAAAAATGCACAGAAAGTCTTTGAGCTCTAGGACATATACTTAGAAGATTTTCAAGAAGAGTCTCTTTGGCAGGAATTGAGCTGTTTACATTTTGCTTATGGTGTAAGGTTCACTAGTTATCTGAGCTCGCTTTTGGGGGAGAGAATTGGGTGGGCGTTAACAGTGCGGTGAATGGATGTGGATTGCAGGCTGTGCATGTACCAAGGTATGTGAATTCTGGTCAGAATGTAAGGCAATGAATTATGGTTTGAAGAAACTTTAAAGAAGTGACAGAGCTGTAGAAGAGAGGGTTTGAAGAAATCACCCAGAAAATGAGAAGGAAACTGTTTTGCCTTGCTCAGCCTGGTGTTCTGCCCTGCTTGATGGGGAGAGTATTCTGATTGTAAGATGAGCTTACTGTTACATGAACTCAGTAAAGACTTTGTTACCACCTCAGTTGCTACTAAAAGACTGAAATTGTTTGGAGTGTTAAACAAGGCTTAAAATGTGTATAAAAACTTGTTTCAAATAGGGTAGTCACTGCCATGCTTGCGTTTATAACAAATTAGAAATAAGATTTAAAGGAGAAGCACAGACTTCGAACAAATGGAAGAGTTGGGCAAAACCCTCTATATTTTGAAACTTTAATGAGTTTGGTCATCTTGTTAGCACAATGTTTCTTTTTTGCCACAAGTGTTTTTTAATATGTAACTGAGATTAAAGATTGAGTGGTTTCTAACTTCTGTCTCTCCAGGTGAAGATGGAGCAGGTAAAACTAGCTTAATAGGAAAAATTCAAGGAATAGAGGAGTACAAGAAAGGAAGAGGAATGGAATATTTGTATTTAAATGTGCATGATGAAGATCGAGATGGTAAGTTTGTATTCGTAATAATGCCTTAAACCAAAGTAATAGTTCAATAGTGTGATATTTGGAATGAAAGTGGATGGCTTGCTTTCTTGATTATTTGCAGGAGTTCAGTTTAGTCCAAATGAGTGATTTCTATATCTCATGATACAGTTTCTCATTCTAATCTCCTTTAGTATGTATCATGAAAGGAGAGGAGCCAGTGAAAAGGCTGAAAAGACCAGGAAAACAGTCTTATTGTGACATTCTGGATGGATGCTAGGCAAAAGCACACTTCTCAGACCTAGAAGAAAAGGTGTTTTAAGTTCCAGACACCAAATATCTGCACCTATGGAATGGATAATATTTGGGTATTGTTCTCAGAGATGATTTGACCAAGGTTAAGAGTATTGGAGTTTGTTCTGAATGTCTTCACCAGAACTTGTGTAATGAGAGAGGAAAAACTTACCTAAAGGTAAAGTGTAAATATACTAAGCTGTCTAATTTCGAATTGCCAGCTCTTGATTTATCACTGAAGTTGTGTCTATAGGATATAAAAGTACACTGTTTTGGGGGAAGATATTCTATTTGTGTGGTGATTGGCCTTTTGCAAACCTCAGGAATAACTTCCTTGTCTTTTCACTCTCCATCTAATTCATTAAAACTTAGAAGAAAAACTTGCAGTTGTGCTCTAGGTTTCTGACAGGTCAAGGTACCATGTGTTCTTTAAGAGTTATGTAGACATATCACATTGGGTGAATTCAGCCATCTCTTCTCAGCCCTTGGTCTGTTCACCTGTCAAAGACTGCCACCTCCCTGTCAAAAACTCCAATTTCCCCTTTCTAAGTTGCTTCTTGAAGCAACCCAGTATCCCTCTCAAATGGAAATGTTGAGTTCCATCTTGGGGTTTTCACTCTCAGGTAATGTGTTTCAGATCTTCAGATATCAGCCATTAAACTAGATTCTATAAACTTCAGGGTCTTAGAGGGGCAGGTCTCCACAGCTGCATTCTGCTCTGTTGTTACATATGCGTGTTGAACTGATTGATAAAATGTGTCATTTTCTTTTTTCTTTGTATTTTACATGTCTAATTCAGATTTAATAGCTACTATGTAGTGGACTGTTTCGAGTAAATCTCATAAAATGTTTCTGCTTTTGTTGTAGACCAAACAAGGTGTAATGTATGGATTTTGGATGGTGACCTGTATCACAAAGGTCTTCTTAAATTTGCAATGGATGCAAGCTCTCTAAAGGACACTCTAATTATGTTGGTAGTAGACATGTCTAGACCTTGGACTGCTCTGGATTCTTTACAAAAATGGGCAAGTGTTGTAAGAGAACACATTGACAAGTTAAAAATTCCGCCTGAAGAAATGAAAGAAATGGAACAGAAGTGTGAGTATTGCACAAATATATAGGAATCTATTTAAATCAAATATGCTTAATGCTTTCTGCACCACTTAATGTTTCCATTGCAGTTTTTTTCTTGTTTGGAAAGGTGACTTAAAGCTAGGAGTTCCAGATCAAGCAAGTCAAATTTCAGATAAGTCTTAAGTAACTATATGAACAATGCCCAATACTAGTGTTTGTTTCTAATGGAAGTACTTTAAAGAAACAAAAAGCTTTAAGAATAAACACAGCTAGGTCGAGTTTATAATCTTGTTTCTTACAGATTTTTGTAGGTAAGATTTGACAAATGAAAAAAAAAAAAATCATAGCTTTCTATTTTATTTAATAATTGTAAAGGCAAATCTTGGTCTTTCTACATTACATCAGTCTTCTACCTGTTCCTGTAGCTAGTCAATCTTACAGAATTTTGGATCTTTTCTCTGCCTAATGAAAGTGTAGATGTTGAAAGGATTGACTCTACCTATAGTAATGTTTTAGGGCCCTTTCTACTTGAGGTGTTACATTACTATTGATGCTAATGCAGCTATATGGTGTGTGGTTTTGAGATACTACGTAGCTCTATCAGTTTCATGTCTTTTTAGCTTAAATATACAGAGCACAAAGTTCTTGCAGGATTCCTTAAACTATTTGATGAAACTGTCCAATGTCATTACTCCTTATTACTTTCGGGCATCCACTGTATTTCACTTGGGATACTAAGCATATGAGTCCTTCCCCTTCACCTCTTGAAATTCCTACAGGAGTGAACATTTTTGGGAGAGCTGTGTGTCAAGATCAGATAGCATGAAATCTTACAAAATCTAGGAAATAAAAGAGATTAAGTGAGTCAAGAAACCATCTATCCATTAAGAGTTTGGTTTCTGGTTTAATACTTAAAGACATCGATGGTCTGTGTGCAGGGTATAGTAGAAACCCTGGACACAATCCAGATATGAATTGGAATATGAATTTGAGCCTCTTACGATGTGACTTCATGCATTCATTTGGGTAGCAGGCTGCTGCTGCTGCTGCCAAAAGGAGGGAGGAATCTTGCTTGCCTGAGTTTTGGCTACGTAGTCCTGTTCTTGTATCAGGCTCATTGCTCATGAGAGGCTCTTGTGAGCTGGTTTAACTTCTAATGGCACTGAAATCTACTAGAGGGTTGTGCATCTAGTCTTCTGGAGGTGTTCTGCTGTGCTCATCTTCCAGTTTTAGCAACTGAACCCTCCTCAAAGAAGGGACCCTGTGAGAACCAAGACGGATACTGGAAGGCATTAAGGGATACGTAGCAGCTGGGTATGAAGGGTTGTGAGAGCTCTTCCTGTTGCTGAATTCAGCAGCCCTATTGCGTGGTTGCTTTAACTGTGCCTCTAAGGAGGACCCGAGATAATACCTCACAGCTCAAAGGCTGTGGAATATAACATTCATTTCTTCTCCTGTTTTTTGTACCCAAATGAGTACAACTATATCATGATCACACAGCAGGAGTTCTGGGAATCCGCCAGAGGACTGCCAGCGCTGGAGTAGTGTGATTTTTATTTTAGCATGTGATTTTCCCAGAACAGACAGGATGCTGTTTGAGAGAGGCTCCCTTGACCAGCTGACGTATCTTGGTGAGAGGAGATCAGGGTTTAAGATACGATCGTTCTGGGAGGTGCTCAGATCAGACTGAAGCAGCAGTGTTCCCTGAATAAGAGCCTGAGCTGACTGTTGAAGTAGAGGTGACAATCTGTACGTGTGCTTTTTGTTAGCGTGAACTTTGAGACCTGTACAAGGATGGAGTAACCTCAGCCTCAGGTCTTCCTCCAGGGCCTCCAATAATTCAGTGGTGTGTTAAATCAGCTGATTCTTTTCTAAGTATGAACTCAGGGCTCCAATCAGTTCGGAGGAAGTAAGGATGGATTAATGTAAATCAGGACAAAGCAGTGAGGAAGTACAAGAGCAGCTAGCTGTGGGTTTGCATGATGCAGCTAAATTTGTCTTGCTGCCTGAGTTCTTAGCTGAATCAGGGAGCACTGCTCATGGAAAAGTAATCAGTGCTGGTTTTGGGTAAAATACTGTTTCTGCCATGTGAAGCAGGACAAATGATGTGAAAGTACAACATCTGATGCCTAATATTGCATCCCTGGCAGCAGGAATATGAAGTGACCCTGCAATTAGAGGCTGGGGTGTTTTGCAGCAAGCAGAACCTTGCAAAAGTTATACTTATAACCTCATTTTTTTTCCTTCCAATTCTTGTTGTGTTCCAACTTATCCTCCTAGCTAAATTTTGAAGTAGTATCTGATGTATTGTGAAAATCATGCCAAGTATTAAATATACTGTTAGCTAACAATGCATCTAGCCAATAGTTAATTTCTTATTTGTTCAGTAGTATTGTAGATTGTCCACACTTCTCTCTCTACAGTCAAGAGATTTTTAGGTCAAAGCTGGTATAAGATAGCAGCTAAGTAATACGTGTAAGGCTTTCTTATGTTTATTCTAACAAACTTTAATTATTTTCACCAAGATGAATGCAAGGAAACTTATGTTCTTTAGGAGACATATCAAGCAATAATGATTAATAGCAACTGCCTAGTGGTCCCACGGTGATAAAATAAAGACGTGTTAGTGTTGTCCTTGCGGACACTGATCTGGTTGTGTTCTTCTGCCTGTCAGTAAAGCAGATCTGACTTCCTAGTTCTCTCTCGTGCTACATAAAGCCAAGAAATGGGTGGTGCTCAATGCATGTTCAATTTTTTCCAAATAAAGAAGCAGAAAGTACTATACAATCGATAGTGCTAGAGGTCAATGGCAGTGGAAATCAATGTTGAAATAATAAAGTAGCTGATCTTTTAATACAACTTTTTTTACTTTCAGTGGTAAGAGACTTCCAGGAATATGTAGAACCAGGCGAGGATTTTCCAGCTTCTCCACAGAGAAGAAATACTTCATTACAGGAAGACAAAGATGACAGTGTGATTTTACCCCTGGGTGCAGATACACTAACATGTAACTTAGGCATTCCAGTAGTAGTAGTTTGTACAAAGGTTTGTTTCACATTTTAGGTTTTTTTCTGCATATTTTATTTAAGGAACTCTGTCAATTCTGGATTTGGGTTGGGGAAAAGCATGGTTCTTAGTTCATTATGGATACTTTAGATAAGAATTCTTTAAAACATGTTTAATGTTAAAGATTGGGAATCTTCTGGAAGCCCTGATTGCATGTTAATTTGGAAGTAGTTTTTCCTGTGGTTATGCCAGTTTTCAGGGAATTGAGATATTTTTCAGACCTAGTTTTGTGCACAGAAGTGAGCTAGTCAGCAAACAACTAAAATTCCCTTTAATCATCACAGTCTTCCTTTCTTCTGCAAACAATGTTTTGAATTTTTAAATATTTTTTTTCTTTCTGTGAAAAAGGTTTAGGGTTCTGGTGCTGCTGTACTAACTCTTCTCAGTTGTTGGTGTTTCTGTGGCCTGTTTTGGTTTGTGTTAAATATGTAACATTTTTATTCTGAAAAGAAAGCACTGTGGTTCTCTTGTGTGTCCCCCAGCTCTTCAGTTCTCATTGGCATTAAGCATACTGCATCTGCAGCCTCTGGCCCATAATGAAAGAGTAAACGTTTTGATGCATATGCTGTTACTTTGCTGGAAGGTTAACCCTCTCATTTGAAAAGCATGTTTTTTCTCTATTCCCCACCAGCACCATTTTTTGCCTCTTGCTTCCATATTTCTTACTTTTGCCTCCTTTTGCAAAGTAACTGGACAAAATACGATGTTCTGTAATACCACTGGGTAAAAACAGTGTGCAGAAAATGGTGGTATCATTCAGTGAGACAGCGTTCAGCAGAGGCTTTATCATATAGTGTGACAGGAGGTAAGGGAATGAGAAGTGGCAAATGCTTAATCTCTCAATTTAATGTTGATCACAGTACACGCATGCCAAGTTATGTATCGGTTTTAAGAGATTTTGCTCAGTTACAGCTTTTAAATGATCTCAGCAGGTTTTGGGGTTTTGTTTTTCTCTCTGCCACTTGCCCCACTCTACCCCCTATTCCCCAGTTGTGCACTGGAGGTGCAGCACTACTGCTATTTCAGCAGATAACTGAGAGTGGTATATTAATTCTCTGCTTATCTCAACAGTGCGATGCCATCAGTGTTCTGGAAAAAGAGCATGACTACAGAGATGAACACTTTGACTTCATTCAATCACATATCAGACGGTTTTGCTTACAATGTATCCTTAAATGCATCATAAAGACAAAAAGAACTCATTTTTTTTCATTAATTATGACTAGCTTAAAAGAGTATTTGCATCTGTACCAAAGTAGTACACACCTCCTTTACTGTGGCTGGAAGTCTGCTTCAGTTACCCCCCCCGCAGACGTTGCTGAACTAAACTTTTCTGTTTTCTGCTGATTGATTTTAATGTTTTTTTTTTTTTTTTTTTTTTTTTTTTTTTTTTACAACTTACTAAAAGCCTAGAATGTCCCCCTTACCACGAATTCCTTTACTTGCCTTTGTTTCCATTTTAGGAGTCAGTTCCTAAATCAGTAAGTCTTAGCCAACAAGACTAAGCCAACATGTCCCTAACACAGCAAGAAGATAATTCATATAAACATTAAATCACATCAGATGTGCATAAGATGACTTTTTTTTTTTTTTTTGGCCAAATATGCAGTCCCTTCAGTGTTCGTTAATTCCACAAGAGAAGGTGATAAGGGGAGAAAAGCAGTTTGAATTGCTGTAAGAAAGATCCACTGGGTTTTGTGTTGGTGCAGATGCAACATACATAAGCTGTCACTATGATATTATTACTTTTTTATAAATTAAATATGTATATTACACTGGTTAGTGTCATTTAGTCAGCTAGACATGCCAAGAACTAGATTTAGATGCTAATAATATGCCTTCATTATGTTATCATCATTTGTGCTGTGGTAGAGGGAAGTTTAAATACCAGTGGGGAGAGAGCAGTTAACAGATGGAAAAAATAGTTCAGGAACCTGGCACTTCAGTTAAGTATGGAGATGGCACTTCATTCAAAAAGCTTTTAAGAACTATTTTTCAAAATGGAATTACAGGTAATTGTAATAAGTTTCGTAGGTGGAGGAAGAATATGAAAGATTAGTAGGAATTAGTCCCTGCAATTGAATATGCCATGTGTAACTTGGAATTCCATTGTAAACTTCACTGAATGGGAATTGGATAAGATTAGATTACGTTCTTCTTTCAGAATTTGAATTTCATACATGTAGGAAATTCAACATAGGTTAGGGTATTTGGCATTTTTATAATCCCAAAGTGAAAATTACTTAAAACTTCCCTGGCTGCTTTTATTAATCCTTTGTATAAACAGCATTACTTTAATATCGAACCATGTTGGAATACTAAGCACTCTCTTAGAGCTTAGGCCCCTAATCTAAAAACACAGCTGGGAAAGCGAGGATGTTTTGCATTTTTGAAGCTACAAGTGTTAATGCAGTAATGTGTGCATCACATCTCTACATAGTCCTGCAGGATAGCATAATAACAAGATAAAGATACGGCATGAAAATTTTCCTATGAAAACAAACAAACAAAAACAACAGTTTTGAAGACATCACAGGGAAGCTTTGAGAGTGAGAAAAGCCTGTGCTTTAAAAGCAACAGATGAGCTGCCCTAAAATAAATGCAGGAAGAAAGATTTAAATTACTAAAAAGCTTATTTCAAAAATAGTGCTGGTAGTTGTTTGACCTGTATGAGTTTGCATTCCCCCTTTAAATTTTATGGAGGAAGTAACCCTTAAAGCAACAAAAATGCGCAATTCACTATCTCTTACCAACTGCTAAAAATGAATTTTCTTTAACAAGCTTGTTCAGATGGGGCAGCACTTATCTACACCTCAGTAAAGGAGAACAAAAACATTGATTTAGTGTATAAATACATAGTCCAGAAGTTGTATGGGTTTCCTTTCAATGTTCCAGCTGTTGTTGTGGAAAAAGATGCGGTATTTATGTAAGTTACCCGTATTGTTATGTGTAACAGCATTTAGAGCCTGCTTTTTGTCTTATGCTTTTTGAAGTTCACTGTAAGATTCTCATAAGCTGGGGTTTGTGAATGCCAGTGGGCTGAAATCAGAAATACTGCCCCAAAGAGAAATGTTAATCCAGGAGACACTTCTTCCCCGTTACGGTGGACCAGTCCCAATCTACAACCAGTTGTACCTGATTACGTGGAAGATAGGGGGAAGGATGACAACTTTCCTGGCTTTCAGCTCTGTGCAGTTGAGGATTGCATACTAGAATAACCTGAAGTAACCATAGAATTTGAAGCCAAATGATCCTTTTTCTAGTCCTGCAGGTTGGGATAATGACAAGAAGATAGGAATATTGCACGAGAACTTTCAAACACTAAAAGCAGAAGACAGTTTTGAAGATAACATCAGAAAACCACCAGTCAGAAAGGTAAATTAAGATGTTTTAAAAGGAGAATAAATATTCCTAACATTTTGGCATTCAGCTTTTTACATACTTATTTCTGTCAGCTTTTGGAGTGTTTCCTTGAGACTTTGCTTCCAGTTTATCACAAGACTGTGATAAACTTGTTTTTGCTTATTTTGTTCTCAAAGTTCTTCTTTATTTACAAAAACAAAACAAAACACTCTGTGTGTGATTATGCAGCTTCCACAGTATAACCAGTACATTTCTCTCTCATACTCTTTAAGTATGTAGCTTGACAGAACTACATGCCAGCAGCAGTGGACCCCATGTGTACAGAAGCTATTCAAGGAAAATGTTTTTGTGACTTTTTCTAACAAAGCTAAGAATTTGGGATTGATCATATATCCAGATGTGAATTACTTTAGCCAGGAAAATTAATACTATGTCCTTCCTGTAATCTTTAGGGGAGAAATCAAGACATACAATGCTATCTAAAATACTAAGTGTCCAAGGAAAATACAAGCGGCAGGCTTTTTGCATGCTTCTAAACTTGAGGCATGGATTAAAAATTTTGATGGTGGTATTTGCCATGTTTGTTTTGGCAAAGTTTTTGTGGTGAGCTAATTTGGAGGAAAAGTGCTTGAGACTTGATGCGCTGAACTGGGATCTAAGATCTCTGTCCATTTTATAGACCAGTCTGATGGAGCACAGGTGAAGAGTCACTTTTGCAAAAGTTACTAACAGTAACACCAAGGTTAGGTCTGCATAAGTTAACAGAGACAAGGGAGTGTGCTGTGGAGAGCCTGCGTCTGTGACCAGAAACGTAACTGTGTATCACACTTTAAATGCCTTTTAAACTGTTTCCTTGATGATTCTGACACGCCCTGAACATACCTTGTAATCACTTGTCATTTCTCTTTTATTGAACATAAAACGGATCTTTCCATAGATTCATCTAGATTTATGTCAGCCAGGTCAAAGGACTAAATGATCCTTCCATTCACTTCCAATTAATGTAGCTTAAATGGAATTACAAGGTGTCAGTCTTCAATACAGAAAATGTGTAATATAACATGGTGATCACGTTTCATTCATTACTGAATGCTTTGGTCATATTGACTCGGAGGTGTAAAAAGAATACTTCTTCCAGTTAAAATGATGTTTTTGGTTTTTGTATTGCAGTTTGTTCATGAGAAAGAAATTGTGGCAGAGGATGACCAAGTGTTTCTTATGAAGCAGCAGGTAACTTTCTGTCTAAAAAACAATTAGCCATTTAACAAGATCCTTGATAGAAGTTTGGTTTTGTATTCTTAGTTACTGTAATATCTAACATTACATGGGTTTGTGTGTTTTCTTTTGCAGTCGCAGTTGGCAAAACAACCACCTACTGCTGCAGGAAGGCCAGTGGTTAGTAATAAGAGTTTTAAATACCATCACATGAAAATGATCCACTCTCATATGTTTAGTGCAGTTAAAGCAAGCAACCCTCTATCAAATATTTTTTCATCTATTTTTTTTTTAAACTATGTAGTGTTGAAGGCCTACATCTTAACACTGCTCTAAAATGATGACGCTTCTTCACAGTTAGACATAACTTGTATTGGCAGCAAGGGCTAAATGTCATGGCTTTACTTTTCGTATGTTAGAGAACATCTAAACGGTTACTTGACTGACCTTCCCATCCAAAGAGTGTGCCAGAGGGCAAACGGCATTTCAGCTGAATTGTCTTGGTGAAATTTTTCCTAAATTTGGCACTATCTCTGAGAATATTGAGACTCTGGAGAGGAAAAAGAAAAGAAAAAAAAAAAGGTCAAATGAGAACTATGACAACAACTACATTTAAAATGCTATTAAAATAACTAAAAAGTTAGCAGTTTAATAGAGAGCATGTGATATTTCAAAGGTGGCTTTATCTTGTTTAGATGAACTGCGATTTTACAGAAAAAGGATTTGTTATCTTTGAAGCATTTTTTTTTTAAACTGGACTACCTTTAGTCATTTCCACAGTATCTATGGCATGCATTGTCTTTGCAAGAAGTTGGAATAGTTCCTCTGTAATCTCATCAGTACAGTTTTCATTATGGTCAGAGGCACTACTAAACAGCACGTGGATTTTAATGCTTCTTGTTGAAGTGGGGAGGGAGTAAGCTTCACTAGTTGCTTTAGTTGAACTGAAGTTAATATTTCTAATGATGTCATACAAGTGTGGAAGAAATCACGTGCTTCAAGAAAATTCTGTGTCATTTCAGCTGTGCGGGATACTACGTTGTTTCAAAAAAAAAGAGAACTGCGAAACAAGTGCTTCATTTCATGCATGATTTAATTCTGTAGAACATTGACCACTTCAAGCTTTGGCTTTTTTTTCTCTCATCCTCTTTCTTTGCGTAGGATGCCTCACCAAGAGTTCCCGGAGGATCTCCTAGAACACCAAATAGATCTGTGACATCAAATGTCGCCAGTGTTACACCTATCCCTACTGGGTCCAAAAAAATTGATCCCAATATGAAAGGTACCTTTTCTTTTGAAAGCACAAATGCATTTGGGGAAATAAAACAGCTGTTTTACTTCCTTTCTTTAATGTGCTTATTTAGCATAAATAACTGAAACACTAAATCAGTGTTACTAAACCTAATAAATTGTGTGTTTTTTGTGTCCCCCCTCCACCTTGTAGCTGGAGCTACTAGTGAAGGAGTCCTGGCTAACTTCTTCAACAGTCTGCTGAGTAAGAAAACTGGTTCCCCTGGTGGCCCTGGTGGTGTTGGTGGCAGTCCTGGAGGTGGCAGCACTGGTGGTGCTGGCAGCAATTTACCACCATCAGCAAAAAAGTCAGGTATGATGAAAGATCAATTTCTAACCTAAACTGTGGCATCATTCTTATTAGTACAGCTCATCAGAAGTATGAATGCTTGTGTTTCGTTGGTACTTGATGATAATGTTTTAGACAGCAAGAGAAAAAAACACCTGGCTCCCCACTTACATTTTGTGTAGATTGACCCGGAGATAAGCTTTATTCCATCTGTGCGCTTCCTCCTCCTGTATGCAAAGCTCAGTTTGCTGAGCAAAGTACAGAAGTACTTCCTAACTGGGAAGTCTGCAATGCTAGTTGGAGCAGCGTATGGAGTGCGTTGTAAAAGGAGCTGTTGTGTGCCACGCAGAGAGCAGAACACCTGCTGAAACATCCCTGGGGAGTGGCTGGCAGGTGGCTTGGCTAAATTCAGCCAGGTGAGGGCAGCACTGCAGAGAAGTGGTGCATCAGAGCCATGGCACAAATCTCAAGAATAAAATGAAACCGTTAAGGAGGAAAAAATGTTCTCAGAAATATCCTACTGTGCAACAAATGAAGGGTTAAGGGGTATCCAGTTGAATGTGGCATGTAGTTCGGTTTTCAAGGAGTTACCATGTCACCTCACCTTCATCAGTGCTTACTGTCCTGTGTTTAGTGTTATTGATAAAAACTCACTTATTTTTTCATCTGAAAATTGGTTGGTTTGGGATCTGAGTATGATTTGAAGAGCAGCACAGGACATTTAGATAAGCTGTATGGATAGTTCATATGAAGTCGGATCTTCAGCAAGGATGCTGAGACAGTGCGAAAACACTATGTATGTCAGAGTTGTCCTTTAAAGCCCGAGGTACTGTGTCTACTTGTTATGGTGTGGAGAGCCTCTAGTTCTGCTCTGCCTTTTTCTATGTCATCTTTTCCTCTCTTGTGGTAGAACGTGGCAGATAGAAACCTAGACTGAGTGATAAGAATGACCTGGTGGAAAAATATGGTGTAAGTTAAGCTTGAATCAGGTCTAAGTGTGATTGCACAAATGTCTGTGCCATTCCAAGATACAAAGCAGGTAAGCAGGTGAGGAGAGAAAGGGACTTGCCACCTGAGGGTGTGCATGCGCCCAGCTGCAGTAGTGTCAGATTTAAGCTGACCGAGTGTGTGAAACTGACCTTATTGGTCTGTGGTGAAAGCCTTGATTGCCATTCAGAATTAGTGTAAAATACAGCTGAAAGAGAAAAGTATATTTTCTAGCAGTTGTGAATCCTTCTAAACAATGTTACGTATTTTTAACCTTCCATTAACTCTCCATATGCTGACAATTTATATTATAATTATGGAACTTATTTTGAGATATCTGGAATATAGAAGGATGTGACTTTATCGCTGTTGATTTTTGGCCTTAAGTCTTTACTATGCAACCCCAAGTGTCCAGTAACAATATTTGGGATTTGTCTGAAGCAAAAATGTAGTTCTTTCATCTTTTTTTTGTTGTTGTTCAGTTTAACAGGTGCTTCTTGAGTATTAAAGAAACCACAGGCTTTCCCAGAACTGTTTCATAAACGTGACTGAATGACGTGCATTTCTTTTGTAGGTCAGAAGCCAGTTTTAACAGATGTTCAGGCAGAATTGGACAGAATTTCACGGAAACCTGACATGGTCTCTCCAACAACCCCTACATCTCCCACAGAAGGTGAAGCATCTTGAAGACACCAAATAAAACCAATTGTTCAGTTTTCTGGGATAATTCAAACTTGCCTCTGCCTCTTCCTTCAGTGACTGGAACTAAAGAACTGAAAGATCTTTTCAGAACACAAACAGTTTATGTCTGTCTTTCTTTCATGTGTTGCCCAACTTAACAAAAGGGAGCTGTACAGATGGAAAATGGTATCACATCATGTAGGACTGCTGTTCACAGTGCAAGAATAATAAATTTAATTTCTTGGGTTTTGTTGAAAAGTCAGCATAATTCTGTAAAACTGGCAAGTATGTCCACTTATCAGGTAAAGGTTGCTTAGAGCAGGAAACTGATACACACCACAGGCACTTAATTTATATTGATTTCCCGACCTGGTGGTCAGGTTGAATACCATCTTAAGTAGAGCTTAACCTCTAAAGGAGAGAACTACTGCTAGTTTTTGTAAGAGAAAATGAATTGCACAAAACTGTAACGACAACAATAAACTCCAAATATATTTGAACACTTCATTTGGAGTACGTTTGCAAATCTGTTTGATCTCCCCTAGGATTAACACTGCGTTCAAAAACCCATGCAAAAATTTCATTCCAGATATGTCTTCAAATTAGTGGCCAGTTTTTTGGTTGTTTGATTAATTTCAGACACTGAATAAACAATGTATAAAGAAAAAGCAGAGGTTAAATGTACAGATAATCAGTATCCAGATTTGTCTATATATATGGCTCGGCCTTAATGTCCCCCACTATGTTTCCCACATGAATTATGGTTTAAAATTGGTCATCAAAACTGTAATCAGTTAATAAAGTATTCTCTGCATTCAAATTTAAGTAACTTTCATTGAAGCCATGGTGTTCTTTGTTTACAGTTACGTTTTATACCGCATACTTAATTTTTTTAAAACATGCTTCTTATCTTTAACCTCTGTGTGAATAAGATCACTGGGACAGATTTAAACTTCCTTAAAATGTTGGTTCTGGAAGGAACTGTCTGAAGTCTGCTGCATTTGTTGCTAGGAGTAACACCAGCTTATCAGACTTGTGTGGATTCTGCTGTAACGTATTCTGAAAACACCCTAGTTGCACTAAGGATCCTGCTGATGCCTTCGGTATACTGTACGAGAAGTAGTTGACTGAGGTTAGGGCTTTACTTCAGCTTTCAGTACACAGATGTTGAGCATCCCTTTACTGATCTCTTTTAAGCTTACAGTCTCTTCCTACTTGTGGCTACAGGATAGTAAATGTGAAAAGTACATCCTTATTGACTAATTGCCAAGTGACCTCTTCAATGCGTTTAGGGTGGGTTTTCATTGTTGGTCGTTTGTTTTAGGTTTTTAAATAGTCTTACATTAATTTCTCCAACTCTTTAGAAAACTTCAGAAACCCCCTGATGAAGAAGAGGTTGATGCATGGAGAAATGCCTCCCTATCAGTACACTTCTGATAGTAGCTTATGCATGTAAACTTCTTTAAACATAACTCTAAGTGGTAATAGGTGCTGTTCCTAACCTCAGCAGCATGCTTTTTCATACATAGAGCTGCAGTGGTACGTGTTTGTGGAGTGAAACTTCAGACTTTAGGACAATATCCTAAACTTTCATACTGCTCAGGTTTTGGAAAGAAAACTTTTAGCTTCTGCATTTTTCATCTGAGCATCTGTCAAAGCCCAGTATCTTTTTTGAAGCTGGAAACTCGGACGTGTTATATTCCCATATATTTTCTAGTTTTCCAGAAATATATTAGGAACTATTGAACTAGGTGGCCTTTTTTTTCAGAAGCAGGGACAGGGGAAAACCTTACTAATGACTCATTAGAATTTCACTTCATAAAACAAAGTTCTAGAAATAAATGTCACTTCTGCAAATTTAAAACTTCTAAATTTATTTCTTCCCTAGCCTGTTAGCTGTTTTATCTATTTTATTAAAAAAAAATAAAAAAATAAATCTTTAAAGAACATTGGCTTTTCTATTCTACAACGCTGAAGTAGCCTACCTCCCCCCTTAAAGTTAAAATTCCCTTAAAGCTGCTGTCACTATCCCCAGCTTTATGCTTTTTGGAATAAAGACTTTAAGGTATTTTTATGGCAAAAAGAAAATGAGAACTTGTTTCCATTTAGCCTGGTGGCTTTGGCTTCTTGTTTCCATTCAGTGAGACCAAGACTAGTTGGCTTCTGGCTTTGGCTTTGAGTTGAAATTTCCCTGACTACTGCTTTGACAGCAGTGTCAAGATGAAGACAAGATGAAGGTGTCACTAGAACTATCATGCAAAACAAACCTATGTAATAGAAGGTTATTTTCACAAAATGTAGAGCCAGTTAGTCCTTGTTCTTTTAGGCACCAAAGTAACCAGTTGGGTAAAACAATGGAAGGATGCTTGGAAAGGATACTACTTTGTTATCCTTTATTGTGCTTCGGTGCCCTACCTGTAGATGTGTTAGGTTTGTTATGACCTGGATTCTAAAAGGAATAACAGCGTGAGTAACTTCTAATCACTTTTGTGTGCCTTTAATGCGTTTAGTGTAATTGGGTCCAAGGTTTTAGTCTAGTACACAGAAAATTAGAGATAGTATTGGAAGAACAGATGATTTTTCATTGGAAAAAAAAAAAAAAAAAAAAAAACAACAAAAAAAAACCACAACAACAATGTTTTGTGGAATACTACAAAAAATGCTATAAAGTAAATAAACCAAGTAAATTGCTTTGTATTTTCAGAGCTAGTTCTGTGTAGATAAGGAACTATTAGCCCCAAAATGAATGTTTGAGGGGGATTTTTACAAATCTTCCTCCTCCTTCTCTCCTTCATGTTCCTACATCAGTTCTTTGAGTATACTGGTTGTAATAAGCTTACTCTATCAGTTTTAAGCTTGAAAAATTTGGGGTAAAAGACCACTTTCCTTCCAGACTATTCTTACTTTTCAGCTGAAAATATGTCAGTCTCTGAAATGTGTGTGTGATATCTGAGCTATATGGACTAGCTACCATACTACATACACTAACTTTTAAGTTTCTAGTGATACATCTGGAACTTAAGTACTAACCTGTTGGGTTGCAGTCCTTTTATGGGGAGCAAACTTAATTTGCAGTGGGACACCTGCAGCTGTAGAACCATTACTTGTCAAATACCTTATGGCTTTGTGATTCTCTTTATGCAGATAAATGCTGAAAAACAGTGACAAGAGTTAGCTTAGGTAAATGTGGAATACTGAGGGTTTGTTTTCTTGTGTCATAAGGGATGCTTAGACATAGTTATTAAAAACACTAATCCTTAATCTTCAGCTGTGTAAAAATCACACATTCTAGCTGGTCAGTATGAAGATAGGAGTTTGTGAATTCAATTGCAATACTGAGTCTAAAAATACAGCCTTGAGAGCAGAGGAATCTTCAGCAGATGCAACATGTGCAAGGCTTTTCTGAGTTCTTTGTCACAGTACTTACGTTATTCCCCTTGCTAGCTAGTTGTACCGTACTTAATGCTTGCAATACACAGGGCCAGAGTGACGAAAGAAAACTGTTAGATACCTGTGTGGGAATACCAGAAATGAGACCAGGAGGAGAGCTGTGTCTCCAAATGGCTGACTTAATTGTTCCATGGTGATGAACCTCATCACCCTTCAAATGAAATGAAGCCTGTCTCCTTCAGCTGTTTGGACTTTTAAACTACCCTCCCATTCCTATAGTTCCTTCTCTCTCGCCCTCCTTGAAGGAAAACAAAAGGGCACAATTGTATTTATGAACATGGGAAAATTGGAATATCAGTGTGACAAGTCAGGTCAATGGAGCCCTGCTGCTAATTTTGATTGTGAGGGATTTTGGTTTTAGCTTAATCTGTGTAAATCTGTAATACACTACGAAGCTAGTTCCAAAGGGTCACTGGGGCTTCACTATGAAAACAGGGATGCAGCCCTGGTCTGTGGCCACTATATTCCAGTGGCTGGCATTTACTCAACTGCTTCAAGGAGCTGAAGTCACACTTCTTTGTAAGTTTTTTTTCAGTGCAGCAAGGGGTGATAGCCATGTCATAAAACTATAATGTAATCTCCCCTAATGAGGTAGCTTTCTCAACTTAATAAGTATTGCTTTTTGGCCACTATGGTGGAGAAGATGCAATGAGGGAGAAAACTAGGTCACTCATCACTAATCTGCTTCCACCAACCACGAGCTCTTTGGTTGAATGGAGATGTTGTGGTAGTTTAAGATCTAACTCCAGGGTTGCCTCTCTGCTGCAAGCTCCTGCTTTTAGCTCTGGTTCTGCCATTCTGGCAGAGGTTGTGTGGGTAAGAAAGGCTTTGTTTTTGGAAAGCTCCATCAGCAGGTAAACAGAAGGAAGTAGATGCACACCTGGAACGGGATTTCCATTGCATCACAGGCAGGTAATTACAGTTATTTGCATTAAGCAGGCATGTTATGTATCGCAATTATTGTTTTGATCTGCCTTCCCTCTAAAGGAGAGTGAGGTACTTGAAAGACAATTCTAATGAAAAGGGTAAAGAACACCTTTAGTTTGTGTGCACAGCAGCATTTGTATGTTTTAACACAATGCCTGAAGTATTTTTAAGCTACCAGGCCCTACCTGGTCTCCTTTTCATTCCTTCTTTGTTACAGTTACTGGAACTTTGTTACTGTTTTGCTTTTCATGAATTCCCTTATAAATAAATAAAGCGGGCTAAATAAGCTAGGATTTAAGTGGCAAGCTAACCTTTATAATTCATGCATCATTGACATGTACTTTCTGGAAAAAGCCTGAACCGAAAAACCAACTCAAAGACAACAGTAAGTAGAAAAAGGTTGCAATCTATTTTATCTTTTCTTGACTTGGATAGTGTTTATATGACTCCTTGAAAAGCAAACTCAATAGTTACATCTCTGTTCATAATCTAGTAACGCTGCATTAAGACACTGGTAAAGATTCAGATGGGAACAACTGCGAATATCCCTAAATGCTAGTGAACACCTGAAAAGGAAAACTCACAATTTCTTCTATCTCCCTAAGCCCTGTCTCCCTCAGACCAAAGTACAGTCTAGTCACACACAAAATACTAGCAAGGAAGAAAACAAAACAAGGGAAATTCCTTCAGAAAAGAGATGCCAGCCTCTGTAATATAATCTTATTTATGGTGTACTAATGTGAAAAACAGCAATAAAGGCAAGGCAGACTCCTGAGTGGTAACAGTAAATGTTATGTGCCCAGCCCTGTGTTCTGGGGATGCTGCCAGCAGAACTGCATTAGACTCATCCCAACCCCAGGCAGAAGCTACGCTGCCCTCGTGGCAATACCTTGCTTATTTTACTGGAAACTCCCATGCCATGGGAATGGTGGGACTTGCCTTCCTCATTTGCCTCTGAAGCCGATTGCTGCAGCAGGCACTGTTTGTGGCACAAACAAGCCTGTGCTGCCCTGCCCAGGGGCCCTGCAGCGTTCCTCTCGCTTGTGTTTTCTTACTGGGAGGGCTCGTGCTTATGGCCTGCTGGTGAATGTTCAACACAGAGCACGAACTGACTGCTTTTAGCAGGGCCACCCCACTTTACCTGGCCATCCTGGTGGCTCTTGGCAGGCTTACAAAAGGCACTGGGGCTCCTGGGTGGCCGCATGCATCCTCCCTGCTCCTTGTGCTGGCTCTGGAAGAGAGATGGGGGCTGAGCAACCTGATCCTGAGTATGGGCTTCACTTAACCAGCGTGCATACAAAGCTGAGGTTAAGAAAATTGCCATTTATATTACGTTTGACAGAAACTTAAATAAGTGAAGTGTAGCCGAATTTGGCTGTGACGGGTGGTAGCAGTTCTGTGGCTGAGAGGTGAATAGTGTAGCAGCCCAAGGCTCTGCTCAGCCCCAAGCCGCCTCCAGCGCCCAGCACCAGCCCGGTTCCTCCTCAAGCAAGGCCGGGGACAGGGCCAGGCTGGCAACCAGCCTGCAGCCGGGAGGGACTGGGACCGCCTCCACCTTCCCCTTCCCCTTCCCCTTCCTTCCCTTTCCCTTCCCTCCCCGCCCTCCTGCCTCGCCCTTTTGCTTTCGCTTCTTCCCTTCAGCTTGGCGGCGGCCATGGAGAACGGGGCCGTGTACCGCCCGACCACCGAGCCCCGCTGCAAGGAGCCCCGCCGGCCCTGCGGCTGCACCCGGCACCGCCTGAAGGGCTGGAGGCTGCCGGCCAAAGTGCTGCAACCGGTGAGGCCCTGCCCTTCCCTTCCCTTCCCTTCCCTTCCCTTCCCTTCCCTTCCCTTCCCTTCCCTTCCCTTCCCTTCCCTTCCCTTCCCTTCCCTTCCCTTCCCTTCCCTTCCCTTCCCTTCCCTTCCCTTCCCTTCCCTTCCCTTCCCTTCCCTTCCCTTCCCTTCCCTTCCCTTCCCTTCCCTTCCCTTCCCTTCCCTTCCCTTCCCTTCCCTTCCCTTCCCACCCAGCAGAGGCAAAGCCTGCCTTGTTGTTTGCTAAGCTGCACAAATCGGTAACTGAAGGCTGAGGTGGCCGCGGTGCCACTGCCTTTTGGGCAGCTTGAGGTTGTTTTGTGGTGAGGAACTAATGGGCTTGCTCCTTCTTCGTGTCCGGCTGCAGGGGCACGTGCTAGCACCGACCTGCTGGTTGTGTGCCTCGCATGGCTGAGGTTAAGCGCTGTGGCCACCATGGGTCCACTGCTCGGCATCCTCAGGGTTTAAAATCAGAGGCCATCCTCACAGAAAACATAGCGTACTCTCTTCTGAGGGCCTCGCTGGATGTAAACAGGCAGTAGAAACCTTTGTAAGGTTGTGGGATTGCTGGGTTCCCCTCATGTCACCCCCACAGCCTGACCATGAGTGCACCAAGCTGTGCCGTGCTCCACTGCCTCGGGGAGCACATCTCCCCCAGCAAACCTCCTGGCAGAAAGCACACCAAAACATGTGAGCTGGGTGGTGGCCGGTCTGGATGTGTGTGACACCGCAGTGCCTCACTTCGTACCGGGCAGCCCCACGCTCTCCTGGAATCGGGGGCTCATATTCTGCTTGCTTTTTGCCACACGTAACATTATTCCTGGATTTGCTCAGCACCGGGACACCGGATCATGCTCCTGTGTGTTCCCAGCCTCAGTGATGGATCTTCCCAAGCTTGCTGGTAGCGATGTGAGGAGCACTGGGTGCACGTACCAGCAGCGAGCAGTGAAACCACAGCGGCAAAGGGCAGCTGACTGTAAATGTGTCAGCAAACATTTTCCATCGCAGTGGCTTCTCAGTCAGATGTCTCATGCTGAGAGGAATCATAGGTGATTTCCAGCCTTTTCTTGTTAATTCGCTGTGCAGAAAAGAGGACGTTCGGTTTTTAAACTTTGGCTCACACAGAGTCAAAAGCCTGAAAGCTGAAGAAAGCAGTGCTGGTAATGCTAATGCTGCCCGAAGCAATGCTTTCTAAGACTGTTTAAAAAAAAATCACACCCAAGAATCCTATATTAAATATAACAGGATGCAAAATGTTACTTCATCTTCTGGAGATTAACAAAGATCTGCTGGATGTTGCTCCCAAACAAACAGATCGTTACAGATCAGTAGTTTAATGAAATAAAACAAACTATTGCATATGCAACTCTACTGGTGTAGCAATGTCTTCAACTGCTTACCTGAGCAGAGGCATTGTTTAAAAAGCTTTCTAGGAAGGAAAAAGGTAAGTTATTAAGGCCTGTCCTGACAAGGATGGGTAGCTGCTTGACAGGCTCCTAAAGAAGTAGCAGCTTATGGCCTATAACAGTCTTTCAATAAGAGGAAAAATAAAATTGAATTACAATCATTCACCTTCCTCACTTCCAACAGTTCCTCCATCCTTTTGTTTCACTTTACCAAAATGCACGGATCTTCAGCTCTTGGCCAAAGCACTTACAGCAAGCTCCAGAAATTACTGAAGGTGGAAGCCTCAATATTTCCAGTAGGAGAAAGGTTCCCGTTTTAGGAAAGCATTGGTTTCTTTTTATTGGCAGCCCCGGTGATGGTGGTGGTCATTAACATCTATTAGCCTTGTGTTAGAACAGTGATGGTTCGTTATTGTGGGGATTGCACACTGATAATCAGACGGGTGAGCTGCTAAATGGGAAGGTTTCGTGCTGGGAACACCACTGCTCTGTTTTAACAGGCCTGTTGGAAAATTCATTGATTTGCTTTATTTTTGTAGCCTTTCACTTCTTAAATTTACTTGAGAAACGTGACATTTGTGCAGAAACTCGCAGTAGCATCAGTGTCGATGCAAAGTTCCTGCTGGCAGAGGACCAAGGAAGTTATTTAATGGCTTGTGTGTGTTAGGGCACTTGGGACTCATCTGCATCCACAGCAATGCGGGGCTCTGCATGAGAGGCAAGGAAGGTGGCAGCTGCCTGTTTGTGTCCTCAGGTATTTCCTCGGTCTTTGGTGTGAAAGAGGCTCTGCCCTGAAGGTTTAGCTCTGAAGAAAATGAGGAGCTCCTGAGCTGTCCCTCTCTGCTCATTGCTCAAATAAACCCATAGTGAGATTCTGGGTGCTTGCCACTGGGAAGTTTCCACAGGCTCAGTGTGGAGACAGCAAACATAAAAATACAACAGAGCAAGCTTCAGCTGCTTCATGTAAGCCTGTACTGGTCTGCGCTGACCTACGCATGTGGCTGTGCTTGCAGAACTGGGAAACCGAAGAAAATGTAACAACAGAGCCCTCTCATGTTTATTTATAGAGATGTCAAGAAGCAAATTAACAAACCCAAGCAGAACTCTGCAGCTTATAGATGTGCAGCTGATACACTACATCAAGCAAAGTTCTTCACATCAAAGCTTTTTTAATGATGCACTCTTTTGCTATTCACCTCATTAATAAAAATTTGAATACTGTTGGAGAAGTCCCACAAAGGATGCCAGATCAGTCCTCCCTTCTCCCCCATTTTTTTGACATGAAATCCTTTAAAAGTACTCCTCAAATTTGATTTATTTTTTTCCTCCCACTCATTTGCACACTCAGTGGAGAGGTTTTTTTTTTCAGTTACTTAGACCATATTATGGTTACCTGGGCTTCTAAAGCCTTTTTAGGGCAGGTTGCCAAAAAGACCTTTATTTCCTTTCTGTTCTGCCTCTGGTGAAAGTGATGGCATTCAGCTCTCAGTGCTGATACAAGGAGGTAGAAATACAAATCCCAGAAGGGAGGGGGAGAAAAATATTCCTTGGGCATCTGCAGTAATCACTGGGTTAGGCGTGAGGGTTTCTGAGAAATTTGCTTTGCCAGCCAAGCACAAGAGAGAAGGGAAGTATGCGGAGGGCTGATTGTAATGTGTCAGTTTACCAACTCGTGTGTGCTTTTCCCTTTCTGAGATCCTGTTTACTTTACACCGTTGTGTATTCAAAGCACGATGTTTTCTGAGGTCTTGCTTAGCTGGTGAATTTACAGTTCCCACGTGCTAAGTCACTTTTCTTATTTTTACTGTCAGAAAACTGAAACTCAAGACAGGTCATTATTTTCCAAAATAAGATGCAGATATAGCATCTGCAGCTGTTTTGACGTGCTAGTAACTGGAAAATGACAATTCTGAATTCTAGAATTAGATTTTTTTTCACAGAAGAGCTGTCAACTCCATTATTGCCCAAATACTGTCATTAAAAATAGGATCATCCTCCCTGTATCAGTCTTGATTTTATGGCTGAGTCTGATTCCTAATAATTGTTCCAGTCCACTGAACTCCTTACTGCAAGGATCTATATCCTCTGTCAACTTTTTAGGATGAAGAAAACCAGCAAGAAGTGGCCAAAATGAGAGACTATTAAAAAATAAAATAAAATAAGCAATATCCTTTCTTGTACAATAAGGTGGTAGAAGATCCAGCAGCAGATGCTTGGTGTCTGTATGGGAGTTAACTCATGTTCTGTCCTCAAAAAATACTGCTGCAGGGAGGCTAACGTAGGCTTCTGCGGAGATTAAACACTGCCCAACATAGCTTAAATGTGGTTTAAACATAGCTTGAAGTTTTGGTTCCTGCAATTGAGCTTCTGTTGTTACTGGTCATAAACACACGAGCCATTAGCTGTACTTTCTCTGAAGTTTATCGAGGGAGATAACACCAGCTGCAGGCTTTCAGGGAGCTAAATGGCTGGGTCAGAGTCTTCTGATCCACCCCAATCCCAAATGCATGTAAAACTAAATGTGGTTGTAAGTGGTAAGCAATTGCATTTTTGCTTGTTCTGACTGGAAGCTGTGCTTCTCGTGCTGTCTGCCCGCTCTCCTACTGCTCAAAGCCACAAATGGGAAGGCTTCAGTTAAAAGTGTGTAGATGGTGGAGCTTAACCCAATGGAGTTTGTTGACTGACTTGAACATCAAGCCTAAACTGTGTCATTGTATTTCTACCTGTGTTATCCATAGGTAAATAACCATAAAATAGTGCAGAACTTCACCAAGTTCTTTTTTAGATTCTTTTGTTGTTGTTGTTGTTTTATTTCTGTCTTCATTAACCTTAATATTGGAGACATCTGTTTGCTAACGATATTGGTGACTTGATCTAACACAAGTATGTTATTTGTTTGCAGTTTCTCTCTCTTCTGGCTGTTATTTTTGAGGAAATTGTGGAGGATTGTAGCAATTGTGGTGGACTTTACTTCTTTGAATTCACAAGCTGCACTGCTTTTCTTCTGAGCCTCCTGATCCTCTGTGTGTATTGCACTGTTGCATATGAAACCTTCGGGAAAGATAAAGTAGAGAAAGTGGTAAGATTTATTTTTTTTAAAAAACAAACCATTTAATGCAAGTGCTTAAAGACTACTGCAGAGTAAAAAGGCAATGCAGAGTGAATCATTTATTATTCTCTAATTAAAGGGTAAATTATCATAGGTTATATTACAGTTAATAAATAAGTAACTTTATAACTTTATAATAACTTTAAGGCTTTATAATAACTTTATAATAACTTTAAGATGTTAAATGTAACTATATATAACTTTATAATAATTTTAAGAGTGGTTTTTTGTTGTTTTGTTTTAGATTTAGATTGGAGATTTAGATTAAATGCAAGGAAGAAATTCTTCACTGTGAGGGTGTTGAGGTAGAGGAACAGGCTGCCCAGAGAAGCTGTGGATGCCCCATCCCTGGAGGTGTTCAAGGCCAGGCTGGATGGGGCTTTGGGCAATCTGCTCTGGTGGGAGGTGTCCCTGCCCAGGGGGACAGGGGGGTTGGAACCAGGTGATCTTTAAGGTCCCTTCCAACCCAAACCATTCCGTATGATTCCATGATTTTCTGAAGCTCCCATGAGCATCAGAGTTTCAAATTGTAAACTCACTGTGGATTAACTCGGTTGCTGTTAGGATGCTTGTTCTTTTTCAGGTAGTATACCTACAATTCTGTAACATTTATTTTTTATGTTTCCAGAACTTTTGGGCCATGCTAGCCATAGGTGTCATTTTCCTGTTAGCTTCAATAGTTCTTGCTGCAACAAATTCTTCACCGGTTCCTGCAATTATGGCATATGTAAGTCTTATAATTGTATCTTTTACTTTGCATTTATCTTGTATCTTAAGTTGTCTACCCTTTAAACCTCACCCAGTTTGTGGGGAAAAAACTGGGCAGGGAACAGAATTCAGTGCATTAGGAGGAGCTAGCTGTTTCAGAGCTTCTGAAACTTAGCTTAGGAAATCCAAAGAGTGGGCATTCCTTGGTTGCAGAACTTTCCAGCAGTCCTGCTTGCAGCTCCTCAGCAGCTGTGGCTCACTTCTTGGTTCCTCACTTCATTTCACTGCCTTGGCTCTGTCCTACTCCCTGGCATCTGTCACTGTTAACAGGACTGTCATCTCTCACAGCCTCCCAAGCTCTCTGATACTCGCCTCTGAAATGCCAACTTTTTTCCTTAATTGTGCTCCTGTAATGCTATCCTCTTGCAAAGTCAGCAAGAAACCACATCTTTTGTCAGACATTATAAAGCATAGGTAGAGAACGCTGGCTTGTAAAGGTTGCAATAAGAACGAGACAAAAATAAAAGAGCAACAGAGGCCCAGGACAAGGCACTGTAGAAGCTGTGGGTCATAGTTCCTTACTCATTTGGTGCTCTTTTGGAATAACTTTGGAATTGTGAATACGTGAGATTAAAGATCAAATTTTGATTTTCTTCTTGAATGAATAAAAAGTGAATTCTGTTCCGTACTCAGCGTGAGCTATTGAAGATACACACTTCTGTATGGTCATATGTTGTGATGCTGATATATACAGTCCTAATGGTTCAATTAGTCTTCCTTTGCTGTGTGTTTTTTTTTTTTTGGTGGTGGTGGTGGTGGTGGTGCATTTTTTGTTTGTTTGTTTTTGTCCCAGAGCTGGAAAAACAAAAATATTGGGATTCAAGACTTCATAGTATCTAATTGTTTGGGGGCAAACCTGCTGCTTAATTTTATTTAAAAGTTAGCGTAAATGTGTGCGTGTACTTCCTTGCTTGAAAGAAGCTGCTAAAACCAAAAGTCTGCTTACCACTACGTTGCTATGACTAATAATGAAAGTTGTCATTAGCAAAAGGTCACGTCAGCCCCACGTGCTGATGCAGCAAGGACTTGCATAGGCTCTGCTAATTTATCTCCCTTCACCTTCCACGGGTTACTCTTCTTCACCTAGTCCCTTTAAAGAGCAGACATCTCTTGGATAAATAATCTGCTATACCACCACTGCCATGCTTCTTTACTAATTTTACTGCAAAAAAATAAAATAAAATATATATTTCTACTATTAAGATCTGTTTAGAACACATCCTAAGATTCACACTTGATTAAGAGAATGAGAATTGTAACAACTTTTGCATTGAATATGCTAGAATTAAGACTTCTGATCTGTTGCTAATTTAAATGGAACCATTGATTTAATATACCAGCATTATTAACATATATGAATAGTGCAGCAAATCTCTCCAAAATCATAGAATACTGTCAAAGTTTGTACTTTTTTAATTCATATGTTTCTTTCACTTTCACAGGTATTTGGATTTTTCGCAAGTATGGCATTTTTAGCTGAGGTTGGGATGGAGTATTGGGACAGGCGGAAACAAAGCACCAGAGAACACCCTCAAAATTCAGGCAACACTCAGGGCACCGCAGAAGATTCCCCACTGAATAAGTAAAGCTGAACTTTCTGAAATTAGTTCCTTTTTTTTTTTTTTTCAGTGGAGCAAACTAAAATGAAGTTTCAATGTTCTGTAGGTAAAACATCTGTCTCTTCCTTTGAATCAATTTTTTATACTTTGCTCATCACAAATGGATCCTTAGGTCAAGTAACATCACCTTGAACATCATGTTATATTTTATTTTGTAGGTAACTTGTTCTGCCATTTCTCTAGGTGGCATACATTAAAAAAAAATAATAGTCTAAATAGAATAACACAAGGACAACATTGTGCTGATTCAATTTTGGTAGGAGTGACTATGAAAGGATAATCTGTGGTGCATAAATTCTCAGTTATGCCTTAAAGACATTTTCTGTATGAACTGGACCAAATATATCTTCTACTAGTTACAAGTTAGTACGGTAGAACTCATTCTTGTACTCACTGGCCAAACAGTAAGTGTAAAAGGGATAATACCCAATTGCAGCTTTACAAAAATGCTTATCTTTATGTAAGGGTTTTTGGTTTGTTTTTACTAACTACACTTTTTAGTTCTGTCTCTGGAGATCAGTTCAATGAAATAGCTTAGAGTTTTTATGCAAGTTTTTTTTTTTTTTTTTTTTTTTTTTTTTTTTTTTTTTTTTTTAGGAGACAGCTTTGTACCCTATGGTTATTCAAGTTCAGGCTTGTATGCCAGAATATTCCCTCAGACTGTTTCAAAAGTGACAAAAGTCACAGGGGAAAAAAAAAAAATTAAAAAATGGATTGGCATCTGTGAGAGGAAAAAGTTTAAGTATTTTCACAAAGTCACCCAGAAGTAGCAATCTGAACATCAGTGGGAGAACGATTACAGCATGTTGTAATATCGACTATCATTTGCAGGGTTGATACCATGCACAGCTTGTTTGTGCATAGTTTTACCAGATTGGTTTTGGCAGCACCATTTTCTGTGCTGATATCTATGGCACTAGTATGAGACTTCTTGCTGCTGGCTAACTCAGCTGGTAAACAGGTAAATAAGCACTCGTAACCTCCATTTGTCTTAAAAGCAAGGGGCCGGGAGACTGCAAGAAACACTACTGATGCAAGGTGTATCAGACCAGTGAGAGACTAGATGTTGATGGCTACTGTGTAAAAAGTGAAGTGGTTAAGGAAAAAAAAAAAAAAAAGGCATTTTGCAGATGTCTGAGGTAGAAACAAAATTGCTAAACCTCATTTAGAGGGAAGCCCTCAAAAGTAGGGCGAACTGCTGTGTGTCAACAGACCTTCCAAAATGCCAAAGCAAATGGGAAAAAGCTGATTATGCAAAAACAGTCCGTGTTTGAGTTCTCGTGACAACTGTCGTGTCTTCCAGGCATCATTGTCTGAAAAATGTATAGTCCTGTAACCTGCTGTGGCAGCACTGAGAGTAAGCCCTCCAGAAATTGTCTGAGAGCTATATTTGGAAAAGGATGAGGAAGCCATTGTAAGACAAAGCATTGTAAAAGAGGGTCAAAGGTTTTTCTTGTTGGTGGTGGTGTTTGTTTTTTTTGTTTTTTTAACTCCCAGTACTGCTACTTTCTGACGAATGTGAGTTTGTGATGTTGTCTCTCTAAACTCTGAGACCTAACCTTAACACTACACTTCGCTTGGGCAGTGTAACATTTTGACAGCTGGTGTGAATTGTGAGGTTTAAGCTGCAGCTTGGTTTCAGAACCGTGCATAAAACACAGACTTTCCTTCGCCTAATTTCCTGCTTTGTGAGGATGAAATGTTCCTTAGGTTGGAATTGATTTTCCTTGTATTTATTAGTGTCCATTTGCACTAACACTTGATCTTGGTGTAGGTGTACAGAGCCTGCCATAGCTGTGCCTGAAAGCTGGGTAGGTTTTGAGATGGTTTTGTTTACAAGCAACCTTACTGCTTACCAAGCTGGCCACAGTGGGAAATATCTCAATATCTCTGCTGCAATTTGCAGTGCCTTACTTTGGGGTTTGTGTCCACAGCTATAATTAATATTTTAAGCTTGGGTTTGGTTTTGCTTGGTTTTGTGGGTTGTTTTATTTTTCTTATTTTTCTTAATTATAATTATTTTTATTGCCTGGCATTCTATCTAATCAATGCACATCAAGAAGCCTGCAGTTTCTAAATCTTGATATATAATCAAAAGCTGTAAATATAGCGTAAGAATAACGCAGTGTTGCTGATATTTTTAAATGATGCAGCACTATGGTGGGGCTTGTGTCATGGGGTAATTTTTCCTTTTTTTTTTTTTTTTCCTCCTTGAAAATATGTTACAGGAATTATAGGTTTTGATTGCTTTCTCTGAAAGACTTTTCCCCACCAAAGTGCTTTGTTGTTGGTGTCCACTCCCGAATTGGAGATACCGGTACTGAGAGGGATCTGTGAAGTCACCTCTCTACCTTGGCCTCCCTATCTATGTGGTGTCTACTGCTGATCCTTTACAGAGAAACGGAGTGTGCCGTTTTCCTTGTAGCTGTTTCAAGTAGCTTTTACCCATTTTCTCACTGACTCACTGATCCCTGTATGGATTTGAGGATCCAATTCTGTCACTGACTGAAAGGGATGCTCTGCCATCAGCTAATGAAAACAAGTGGGTAGTTTTTTGGAAACTGCTTTATCAGTTCCACAAGATGAAGGGGCAGATGCTATCCCTGTGTCCCTCCTGGCACCTCTGCCCTCACAGACTAATAGGGTGAGAGATTTCCCTCCCCCAAAGCTGCGTGGTGTGGCCCCCTGCACTCTTGAAGTGCCCCCTGTCATGCTTTTGGTGCTGGATCCAGGCTCTGAGTGTCTCTCACTTGGACCGATCCCAGAGGATGGCCCTGGACCTGGATGAAACGTGTTTTTTTGTGGGAGCTGTGTGTGGCTGGATGCCTTTTACCCTCCCGTGCTCTGTCAGCAAAGCAGTTTGCACGTTTCCCAGCCTGTTTCTGATGAAACCAGCCTGCTTTACTTGAAGCAGGTTTTTTAATTGCTTAAATTTAAGTTGGCTGATTGTGACTGAGGGTCTGTTCAGGAGAGTGGTGGGAGCTTTGGCAGAAGGGCAGTTATGAGGAACTGCCCTAAATTTCTCTTACTGTTCACGAAGCAACCATCCGTGTACAACCTTAGCTGACAGTAACACCTGGGGACAGGAGCAGTTGGCCACGCGTCAAGCTGAGGGTTGTCTTCTCCCATCTTCACCGCAGTGCTTGGCAGTGGCGTCGTGAGCCTGCTCAGACACATTGCAAGCTTTCGCCTTTTCCAGTTGAGCCTGTCCAAAAACACTCTGTGCACTGAACTTCGGGCCTTGTTTACAGTGCCGTGAGAATCGGTGCAGAGGGTTCTCCAGGACGTGTGAGGACTTGCTATGAAGGGGCTGGTCTGCAAGTTTCTCCTCTGAAAATCTGCAGGTGCCTTGTGTAGGCTGGGAATATTTTTTTTTTATGTGTGTTCTGCATTTGGCCCACATTAAAATCGCGATGCTAGCAATGCCCTTTGGATTCAAGCATGGGAAGGAATTGTGCCCTACTGCTTGTGCTCTGTGCTTTAAAAACAGCAGGGGAGGATCGTGGTCTTCTACAATTCAGGTCTGCCTTTGCACCCTCTGACTCAAAACTACAGCAAGTTGTCCTACACAAGTCTCAGAGCTCTGCACAAGATGTTTTTGCATAATGGCCAGCACGGTAATCCTCGTTCTGCTCAAATTTGTGCAATAAAAATACCAAACTTACTACACTGAAGGGAAGCTTTGGTGAGACTTTAAAAATGTTACATAAAACTGTAATGAATCGAGATGCTGGTAGTGCCTTCAAGATGGAAATTCATCTTTGTTCTGCTTTATTGCTGTAAGCAGCAGCAGATTAAATTTTAGATTAAATCTAAATTAATCTTCTAGATTAAATTTTATGTCATTCAGAACTATCACTTTTGTACCTTTGAGAATTTAAGTGACTTAATGATTATTAAATCAGGATGATAACGATGGTTTTATATATTGTATACAATAATTTTTTTTTTTTTTTTTTTACAGTTTTGCAGTCATTGTTGCCTTGAACTTCCATTAAAATAATTTTGAAATGTTTAACTATTTTTCCATTCCAAGCCTGTGGTCTTTTTAATGTATTATGCTCTTTTGGACTTAAGAACTTTTAAAAATATTTTGTAATCATTTTTAAAATAAAACATGACTTAAGTATGTGTTTCTCGTTTCTACTGCTGGTGCTTGGTGTCAGTATATCGCTCTCCCAGAACAAACCATAGGAAATAACATCATGCTTTGTTCCTGGTTTGGAGGAAGGAGCTTGCATTGTGTTTGCCTGTTACTGGGGAAGAGGGTCCAGCCTGCAAACCTGCAAAGCTGAGTCTTTTCAGTGGATGTTTCCAGGAGGAAAGGTCCAATAAGGTTGGTGTTGTCTCATCCCGTGGGGTACAACCAGGCTAGTTTGTAACAGGCTTTGCACCTATCATGGTCTATATGTTACTGCAACGTGAGTAATTTAAGTGCTGGTTTCATATTGTCTTGATAAGTTGGAGCTGAAAATTTGAATAAACTGGTAGGCTTGTTAAAGGCAGTAGCACAAACCAGGAAAAAGGTGTCACAAGCAAATCCTATCTGCTGGTGGAGAAAAATGCAGGTGACTGAGTTACTAGGTTGAGGAGAAGCCACCTGACCTTTTTAAAGTGTTTGTTTGATTGTCAGTAGTGGGGGTGAGGAAAAGGAAATTGTGTGCTTTCTGGCACACAAGATAGCTTTTTTGTTTTATAATCCTACAGATTGCTTATTACCTGCATATTTTGTAAGCAGGAGAATGGCACTTTAAGCTGTCAGCACCGAAACTGGAATGACACAGTGTATTTTTCTGTATGTCATATATTAAAGGTGAAATTCTCTCGATGAAGTCGCTAGAGATGAACATAATTGTAAGGGGAAAAGGTCTCTAATGCTATTAATTAAGTTTAATTTGAAAACGAGGTGCAAGCAATCAGAGCAAAATGTTGTGTTAAAAGGGTACGTCAGTGGTGGAGTTACAAAGCCTGAGAAGACAACTGAGAAGATCTAAGAAATGTGAGAAAGACTGAATAATTTGGAGCATGACCACACAGTTTCAGTGCTGTTACTGCTAGAATCGTGGTGACTCCTTTCTCAGCAGTGAGATCCAAAATTAATTTGCTGTAAATTAACACTACAGCAGGGCAGAACACAGGCTAGGAGTCTGCATGTTTCCTTTGTGAGTGGCACAGGCAGCACCTGGGTGCTGCTGCCTGCCTGTTGTTCGAGGCACATCCATCTTTCCTTGCTCTCAGCTGGGCTTTCTCCTTAGAGGGAGGAGCACGACAGCCACCTGCTTGCTCACACAGCCTTCTTCAGGCGGCTCTGCAGGAACCGAGCAAGGTTAACTACGTGGCTGGGCTGTGGGTTTGACTTCCCTTTGACTTCAGGATAGCTATTCTTGGCCTGCTCAAGGGAACACGAGGAAGTCCAGTCATGGTTTTGCATTCTGTGCTGGCCACACGGTGCAGCTCCCCGCAGACAGCTGGTAAAGCTGCTGAGAAGCTGCAGGAGAGAAGTTTGCCCACAAGAGGGCAAAGATGATCCTGGGATTGAAATGATGTGGCCTGGAGCATTTCGCCCTCCTCCCACCTGGATTTTCACTGAAAGCCCCCTTGCCCTCTCCTCTCGTCAGTGTGGCTATAAATTGAAGAGCGTATTTCAGTGATATTTTTTCCAACTGCTTATTTTCCAAAATGTAGCCTGAAGGATTTCTGGTAATAGATAAATGCTGTCTCAAGGAGATATTTCATCTAAGCAGTTGAGATACGGTAAAGGTTTTGCTTTTATTCTTTTTATTTTGTAACCTGTTGAGATCTTTTTTAAAAATTAATTTTTATTATAAAGTCAGGCTTCAGCTGCATCATGACATCTGTACTTATAATGCTGCAGCTTTGAAGATTTCCTTGGTCTGTATTATGCTGTGGTTTCCAATGAAAGGGCTGTGGCTCACGGGTAGGCGGGAGGCAGAAGAAAGGAATGGGGAGTACCCGAGCATTTCTTGGACTCTGGGGAAGTTAAATGAGAGAAGCTTATTATCAAAAAAATGCAAATGATGCATGCTGGAAAAAAATTCAGGGTCTAGAAACAGAAATGTTGGCAGCCACAGCCGCAAAGCATGCCAGACAAGGCTTCTTGCAATTCCAGTCCTCTCCAAGCACCACAGCGAAACTTGCTCTGCCCAGCCCGCACGTCCTGACCACTCATTTCAGTTTGTTTCTTACGACCTATTATCTCTTGGCTGAATAATAGAACAGGACGGGGCAAATAAAACAGCCTTGGCTGTTTTGAAGTTGGCAAGTCCTGAGGTGAGAGTCAGAGCTTCGCAAGGAGGTGACAGCACAAGCACATTCTTCTGTAACGTGCTTTGTTTGCAGCCTGATGAGAACAGCACACCCTAAGTATCCTGCTAGGTATCTGGTGCTAGATATTCTGCATGAAAGCGGGTAGTATTCTGCAGTGCTGTGTCTGGAGAGTGCTGCAAAATGCTCTTTAGCCATCACTTGGGTTTGTCATAAGACTTACTGATGTCGTAATGTTGTAAGGCATAAGCATGACAATTTTCTTTACACACCCTACCCTGGATTAGGTGAAGTGTTGCCCAAAATAACGCAAGCCTGTCTACCCTCAACAGAGCCCTCCTTTTAACCAGCTGTCATTCCAAAATCTCAGTGCAGACATTATCCTGAAATCCTCACTCCCACTGAGCTGTAGGTAGGGAAGGAGAGGTTACTTCACAGCTTTGTAGCGCCTGTACGCAACTAACTGAAGGCAGGGAGCTGCTACTGCACAGTAAGAAGTGCTTTAGCTAAAGCTCTGCTGATTTCTCAAAACAGCTGGGATAAAGTGCCTGTGGAGGTCTAGCAAGGAGGTACAACACAGCATTAGAAACCGCTGTCTAGTTAACGTCAGCCTGGCAGTTTTCTGCCTCACAGTCCTCTTGCCCAGAAAGGCTTGTTTTATGAATGAACAAATGTTGTCCTTGACTTGGTACAGTTTTTTTTTAATTGTAAACTCTTGTTTCTGGCAATTGCGCCTCATTTGAGGGTAACAAGGGCATAATTATTCAGCTCTCATGCATCACAAACTGCTGAGCATGAGGTATTAATGGAGTGCTTTGCTGCCACCATCGCTTAATAGCTACAGCTGCAGCATTGTGCTCCTGTTTGGCTGGGGTTCATGAAGAAGGGGCATGCAGCTCATTAAGTTTTATGTTGAGTGATTTACAGACGTAGAAATAACAGTAGACTGTGTTGGATGGACAAAGCTCTTCTGATTTAGAAGACGCTATTATGCCAAGAGAGCTGCAATTCACACCCGTGTCGGGGAAGCCACCAGCACTGCTCTGCCTTGTACAACCCCCAGCAATCTTAATTAAAAAAAATAATAATAATAAAGTTGTGCTCTGTAATTGTGTGTGCTGGCAGGGCTGTACTTTGGGGGAAAAAAATCAAGCCCTGCCATTGTGGCCAGGCTAGCAGATGTAATGAAAGGAAGCTGCAAGCTGATGCTTTGGGGTCATGGTATCATAGACTGGTGATACCCAGAGCTCCTGGCCTGGTCTCTTCCCACCCACCCTGCATTAGTTGTGTTATTAGCTGAGAGGCAAGTGCTGGAATTAGGTGTGTGTTCTGCCCCAGATCCACACGACAAAACAAAAAGGAGCCCTACCCTGAGATGTTCCACTCTGGTAGCTGGTGGAGGAAGAGGCACATCTGAATCAGAGTGGAAAGGTTAACTCCTGCTCTTGAGCCTTGGCTGCTGTGAATCATTCTCTGCCCTCCTCTTTCTTTGTTGAATACTCAGGGGAGAATGGCTGGATATTAAGGCCAGTCCTACTGCAAATATCCTCCAAGACACACGGTGCTTGTATTGTCTTTGGGCTGTAAAAATGAGGCATGCAGGATGACCCAATTTCCTAGTCTGTCCTCCTATCCCTACGGGTTAGGTGCCTCTAAGTCTACACCTGTGGGCTGTTTTTTTGTTTTGGGTTTTTCCTCAAGGTTTCTATTGCCTTGGTGCAACTCCTCCTGTGCTGAGAGGGCTGCCTGTCTGCTGCTGATTACCTGCACCAGTGCAAACACTGAAGAACAGAACAAGTTTCAGAGGCACTGAATTTAGAGATGACTCTGTTAGTGGTTTGGTGGTACTCTCCTGTGGCAGATAGGAATGTCCCACCCCTCTGCTTGGCCTACCACATCATCCATACACCAGCTCCACCTCAATCGCTGGGCTATTCTTGTCTCTCGGGTAGCCCCTTCATCAGCCACAGAAACGTGCAGGTGTTTCCTTCACCACAACCCTTACAGTGTTCTGCACATGTAAACACACCGAGCATGAGGCACTCGCTTCTCTCCTTTCCTTCTATGCTCTCCCCTTTTCCCCAGGTGCTTGGTTTGCCACCCAGCTGCCCACGGCACACCCTCTGGGCTCACAGGCAAGAAGGGCTCAGAAGGAGAGGCACATGGCAGTGCTTCTACACCAGGACAGGGCTAAAATAATTTTAGGGCCAGCCCCAGTAATCTGTGGGCTTCGTAGCAGCGGGCCCTTGCAGTGTTACTTACTGCTGGCTGACTTTCCTGTTGCAGCGAGGAGGGAAGGCCCGCAGCTCGTTTGCTAATGTTTCAGGATGCAGTTCATTAATTTCGAATGGTTGCTTTGTGCAGTGCTGTTACTCTGGACCTGTAAAAAGCTAAAGATCAATATACGAAATCTACAACACCTAGGGCGTCTTGAATTTAACTTCGTTCAAACAAGGATCCACAGAATTTTGGTTTCATCTCTGCTTTCTTTTCGTGCTCTGCTCTCCTCACTCCCCACCACCCCAAAAGGCAGGGTTGCCCTCAGCCTCCTTGTTATTACCCCTCCCTCTCATACTGCTGTCCCAGCACACAACAAGCAGCCAGAGCATCAAGCCTTTGGCTACTCCACATTGTCTTTTTAAAGCCTAGATTTAAAAACAAAGAAGAGCAATACCAAAGATTTTGGTATTTGAATTCTGTCTCCACGTAAAGCTGAAATCTCTTGGCAGCTCCCTCAGCCTTGAGGCAGAAAACTCCTGTGGTGCTGCAGAGGGGCTGGTCCTGGCAGGTGATGAGATCTTGTGTGATACTTAATAAATTGTCAAGTTATTAACCTAATAAATCAGCGCAGAGGAGAAACGACAACCAAAAAGAGCATAAAGCTACTTCACCAGTTGTTTATGGACTTTTTTTTTTGGACTCCAACTCCAGGCTGGTGGGAACCCACCGTATAGGGTCAGTCCCTAGTAATAAACAACAGCACGTACTTACCATGTGAGAAAGCAGCGTGCTGGACCCAGGGGACACGGGGAACAGGCTCTAGAGTAGCCAGCTGTGGGTAATCAGTGACCTCTAGAAGGGATGGCCATAGAAAGGAGCAGCCAACAGCTCTTATTGCTTTTCCTGTTTTCCAGCTGCTGTGCTGGAAAAAAAAAATAACCATAGCTCTCCAGGAGAGGACAACAAGCACCAGTGCGACTTTCTGACCTCTTTCCATGCAGCACAGTCAAACTGTTTTGGGACCAGGGACCAAAACCAGGAGCTGCCTGATCCCAGCAGCAGGGAACAGCCTTTGCGAGGTGCAGACCCTGCAGCTGTGAAAACTGACACAGCCCAAAGAGGAGGCTTGCGCAGGGCCCCTGCTCAAGAATATCCTAGAGCCCTGGGGTGAGGGCACTCTCCTGCCACGGGGGTTTCCCTCTCCCCCTTCCTCTTTTTTTTTTTGGTGTAAAAGTTTCACTTCCTCTTCTCACCTTCCCAGTTTCTACCCTCACAAAGGCATTAGTCATTCTCTAGCTTATCTCAGTCACCATCTTTTTATTCAGCATGAAACAGTTTGTGCTACCCCTTTTCTTCCTCCAAAATTTTTATTTTAATTTTCAGTGAAACTGAACCCCAAACTCTACCCGTGGTGGCTCAGAGGAACTACTGCCCTCATCTCGGGACTGAAGAGGATGGACAACTTTTGGTGGGCTAGTCAGAGACCAGTGTATCCACACACAAGAAAAGGGGAATATTTTTTTTCCTGCAGCTTCTACAGCTTTTGTCCTCCTGTTGTAAGAGACTTTCTGGTGCTCCCAGACAGAAAACACTGCTCCAGCAAAGGAATGAAGGAAAAAAAAAAAAGGAGCAAGATAACAATCCAATTATCAAAGCCATTTTATCTTCCAAATAGCAAACAGTTTATTTTTAGATAAAGAGCTGGAATCCCAAATTTGACAAAGTAACAGACAGATGGAGATTTCAGAACCGGGTTGACACTGAAGGAAAGTTAGAACACTTCTGCTGGCAGAGCTACAGTAGTAAAGTGCCAAAGTCCTTGTCAGACAGAGCTGTCATTCACAGACCTGCTGGTAGAGCTGGTGATTTCACCAAAAGCTGTGCTTTTCCTGGTGGGTATGTTTCACAAGGATTTGGGAGTAGTGAGGAAGCTGTGCCAGCAGAAATGTCAGTTTTCCAGCCTCAAAGGCACAAAACCAGAAGCAAACTTGTACTTGATGTCCCTTGATCCAGTATAAACAAGTGCACTTAGAGCAAAATATATTCTTTGGGCTACCACACTGCATCATCCAAGAGTTCTTTGGTTGTCGAACTGCAAGAAATTCCCCCTAAAGGCTTCCCCCACGCCATGGGAGCAAGTGACAGAGTGCCGTGGGAGGCTGAAAACGGGTGAGCACGTAGTGTCAGCAGAGGGGACACGATCCCAGCAGAACATGGAAACAGCCTTTTCTTCGCTGCAAACCCAGCCTCCAGCCCCAGACGCTTCTCTCCAGTGCCAGCGCTGCTCTGTGGGCCCAGCTGCACTCACACCACGCATAGCTGAAGACTCCTTCCCACAGGATTGCCAAGGCAGGTGAAAGCTTGTAGAAGGTGCCTACTATCCATCTGAGTGCTGCTTTCAAGAGATGAAGGTGCTACCAACAGAAACAGAGCACTTCTCTTTCCTTTGGGGGAACAGAAGAAATTGTATCCTTAACTAGCTATCTTGTCAATCCAAATTGAAGCCAGGGGATCGTTTTCCAAAAACTGTGGTCAAGTCAGTATTGGCAGGTGATGAGGCACCTTTGTTGCAAAATGAAAAAGAGACCCCCCTATCATATACTTATATCGCTACCTTCTGCTGGTATTTTCACTCAAAGTGAATAGTTTTATTTGAATAATCTTCCGCATTAATGTCAAAGCAATTTATCTTGGAGTGAATACAGGTATCTTCATCCATATATAGCAGACTTCTGTGCTTTCCAATTGTTTCCTGCTCTGTGTTGTTAGGAATAAGTCACTTACGAAAAGGAACAGCAGTAGTAATCACAGAAACTGTGTACCATGAGAAGGAGGATTTCTGCCTTTCTAAGTTTTCTGCTCAGTTATTTCCATTTAATTTCTCATTTTTTTTAAAGAATTTTAGCAGTTGGCCAATTTCCTTTGTTAAAGAATAAAAAACAAAACCAAAAAACAACCAAAGACATGATAGGACGAGAGAAGAAATTAAGGTGGCAACAAATGGCAATGCATGATAACCTGTAAAGGGGCACAAAAAGCATTTTCTAAAAGCAGATCATTAAATTACTTAGGAGTATTTATGCAGAATTTCAGACAAATAGAAAAATGCATAGCAGGCCAGAAAACACTTCCTCCAGATTGGACCTGGTAAACTAAAAATCCTATTTTTTGCAGAAACCTGCTGCACTGTCATGCAGTTGTCCTGACGTAAGAGACCAACTTAAACGTGTCAGCTCTACTTCACAGCTAGATGTGAAAGGGAAGAGCACCAAGGAGGAGGAGCCTATGCTTCCCTTTTTTCTGCAAAGAGTTTCCAGCTCATCAGAGATGGACTGCAAAAGGGCAGAGGTGCCAAGAAGGTAGCAGCATTGTCCCAGCCTCAAAGTTACATAAAGCTTCACAACAATGTCAGGTTGGACAAAACTCTGTCCAGGCTTTGGGCAGAACCCCTGAAAATATCAATCCCAGCAGAGGCAGAGGAAGGGAAAAAACACATGAAAGAGGGAGAAAGAGGCACTAGACAGATTGTGATAGATTGCTCTATTCACAATGAGCTTTCCATAAACACCATTAGCCTCCTAAGAGAGTATTTTCCTTTCTAGGAAATTCACCAGAAATTTCCCATACAGCAAGTCTTATGAATGTCCATTCCACCAAGTATTTGTGAAAAAGAAAGAAAAAGACCTAGCAAATCATTAAACGCTTATTCTTGGGTAGGTATTTCCCTGCATTTGGCAGAGGGAAGCTTTTAAGAATAATTTTTGATTGTTAATAAACTTAAAATTTGTGAACAAAAAAACCACGAATGTCATCATGTGCTGTTGGGGCTAGAAGAGAGTATTTGCAGTAATTTATACAAATTGCAGTTGGTACTTTTTGACGCTGGCTGAGCTGCTGTTAGAAAAATCCATGGCTCTGGTAGGAAGAGGTAACAAAGACTTGGGTCAGCTTATCCAGGCACAGATCAGTTTGTAACAGTTCCTTTGTTAAACAAACCATCCTTGGAAGTTAAAAAATCAGGTAGGAATTTGCAGGATTTCCCTTCTGTAAACAGATGGAGGAAATTAGAAACAATTCTTCCATCCCTCTGAAAGGAGAATCAAGCAACTCTCCAAATTAGTCTTTTTTGTAGTACTTATTGCAAATGACTGGCAATGACTGCAGCCCAGCTTGAGAGACACAAGTAGTCTTTCTCTGTAAAGCTCAGAAAAAGCTGGTTCTCCATTATAAACTTCTTCTGGGGGGAAAGCAAACTTTTTGGATGGGGGAGAAAAAAAACAGCTTTGGTTCACAACATTGTTTTGCATAGGAATTCAAGTAGATCTTCAAAGGCTACCGGCTGTCCAGGCTTCTAATGAAATACCCAGGCTTTCTTCTCCATGGTGGATGCTCCTCTATGGTATACTATTTCGTAAGGCAGACCTCTTGCAGAGATGGAGGAGTCATACAGCTGCATCTTTGAAAAGGAAGCCAGAGTCACTTTCACTGCCACAAACAAATGAACCCACTCGATTAAAGAGCACACAGGAAACCTCCGTTTTGTAGAGGGTGGGAGAGGAAGAAGAGACAACACCGACACATTTGCTACTTACTAGAAGCAAATTATTTTGCTCTACTGCTTAGTTGTTAAAAGCTGTCAGTAGCTGTGATACACATGTTAGCTGAAAGTATGGGATCATTGCTTTGTGAGGAATTTTGAGTAACAAGCAACAGGCTGTTAATAAAACCTCCCAGGTAGACGCTGCCACAGGAAGATATAAATATTCATTTTGGGAAGCATTCTGGCAGGCACTAAGCATGATACTTACTTGTTGACTGGGTAATGCAAGAAACCTTGTAGGATGACCAGATGCTTAAAACACAAAGGATTGTAGCTAGGAATCCAAAAGTCTGGGAAGAAAAACAAACAAACCACAAATATTTACCACTAGATGACACACATTCCATGAATGTATGGACTCTTGTATATTCACCTACATATTTTATGATGTTAACAGACCAAAAGGAGTTACGTTTTCCTCCAATCTGCCAATATGCTTAATGACAATAATAAAAAATAATAATCCATAGCATAATAGCAGCTTATGCTTTGACAAAACAATGTCTGGAAGATACACTGAGAATCATATACATGGGAGAGAAAAAGCTGGACAGCAACAGTGTCTCACCTGCCAGACTTCTCATTAGGATTCTGCAACACAGAAAATACTTTTCTAACACTTCCAATTCCTATTATTTTGGCAAACCCCACTCAAACAAGTCTTTCTCTGCCATCTGCCAAATAAACAACTCAGGCAAGTCTTCTAGTCCATTTTCATCTATACAACATCACCAGAACCAAGTTCCTGAAAGCAATTTATTCTGGTGGGGTTGTAATTTAAGTCCTGTTGCTGTGAAAATACTGTTGCCCACAGGCAAAAGTCATGCTTCTAAAAGCCCCCTTGCCAACACAGCCAACAGAGACAGAGTGCATCTTCCACTGAGGAGGCCTGAGACTACAGTCAGTTTTAGCTCAGAAGAAATTATCTTGAACCTGGGCAGGAGGAGGCAAAAGACTAGGGTGAAGTGCTTCCAGTTGCTCCAACAGACATTTGGGAAACCTGCATTGTCTTAATTCTTCTACACGTTTGTCCCTATGTGTTAACGCTGGAGTCTTTGCTGGCATTACATTCCAGAACATCCAATGAAATCAGCTAGAAGGCAGTATACCAACTGAGACACCAGCAAGGCAAGTCAATAAGAAAACAAAGTGACAAACAAGAGATTTCTAATGCCCTAGTTAATATACATTGCAATGAAAAAGTGTCTAGACTAATAAACAGCCTTACCGCTCCAGCCACAAGGCCAGTCACATTGTAACTCTTCGATGCTGCTACAATGGATGCAATGAGGAGCAGAATGGTACCAATTAAATAATGAAGAAACTCCTGTAAAGACAAGCACAGGTTGCTTCAGTAGGGAACCTTAACAGGAAAGTATTTCTACACGCACCAGAATCAAAACAAGTTGGCAGAGGTTACTCAAGGCCAGAGGGAAAAAAAAACAACAGTCAAAAGGAAAAAAAAAAGTTTCAAAAAGAAAGAAAGAGAGACAAAAAAACAACTTGTGAGCTGTCAGGCAGTGTGCCATACCTGACCTTCTGTTCAAAAGGGAGGGGCAAGCTGCAGGTCTGCTAGTGTCACTGGAATAAGATCTACTTACTGGGTAAGGATCCAGTCCCTTCAGCTCACTATGGTACACTACTGAGGGTGAAACATTTACCTTTATTGTGTCAAATTACTCAAAGAGACAGTTCTGGAGGAAGGAAGAAGTTTTGAGGGGGCACTTCTCTAGTCTACATACATGACATGGCAATGAAGGCAGAGGAAATGCAAACGCTTCTACTTCTCATCGGAAAGTCAGCTAGTTCACTAACAACTTTCATCAACCTCGACTAGAAAGAGGAGGGAACCCACAAAAAGCACAGCTGTACAGACATTCATAAGCAATATCAGGTTCCAGAAAATCAGTCCAAGTCTGTAAGGGTGGCTGCAGCTTACTAACAAAGTAAGTAAGTAACACATGATGAAGCAGTTTTATTTTCCTGAGAAAGCACTGAGGCACTGTACTTAAGATTTTCTCTCACGTGTCAAGTATCACTCCAGGAGTTAATTTTGCCATGCTGTAAACTGGAGTCATCTGTGGATTTGGACTTTCAGTCCTCACAAGGTTATATGGGTGTCTGCAACATACAGGGGTTGTTCCATTTGGGGTGGGCAGGAGGGATTTCTGCTCACTCTACTTGCACTGTGTTACCAGCGTGAGCCAAGCAAATGCCATGTGTAGGAAGAGGGGCGATTCCTTCTCAAACACAAGGAGAGAGTATAGATTTTCAAGGAAATCCCAGAAGAGAAATAGTCTGTCATATCGTACCACCTGCTAGAATAAAGTATTTCTGCTAGGAGGCTCCTCTGGCTAGTTTGCAATGCGTCAGGCATGCCATTGCCTCCTCAGAGACGCCCAGTAAAGCAGCGTACACTGGCCACTACTATTGAAGGGCCCAACAGATGGAGCCAAGGTGTAAATGAATTGTCAAAGGCTAAATTACACGGAGAACCAACCCCTGGCAGGACTGGAAGAGTGCCCCTCTGGAGAAATGCTTTCCAGCTTTAAAAGGTGTCAGTGCAGAGCAACCTCTCGAACCACTTCGACTTTACTGATTGCAAGTCACAGCCCTGCAATGAAGAGATCCTGCCAGGAAACTCAGCCAAACACCAATCCTAGTTTCCCCAAGTCTCTTACAGGCCTTCCTATTCGGTTCTAAAGGTACTTAAATATTCGACTGAAAAGGAAAGTGGTTGGAAAAGAGCAGCAATGTATAAGCATCCCATCCTGTTAAACCTATCTGGGGCTGAGCAGCCACAGTCTGCAGTGCCTTAAACTCACTGGTGACTGGCACATTTTGGAATGAACAAACGCAACAAAACCAAAAAGCAGGGAATGCAAAGATCCAAATGGCAGGGTTCTGTGACAGCAGTGCACACAGCAAGTGGTGCTTGGCAAAACTGTCACTTAGCAGCTTCTTTCATTTGTATTTATCTTGGAATTTGTACTGCCTCTAGATAAAGACAGAAGTGCTTTCTGGAGACAGATAATGGAGGCATGCATTTTTAAGAAGTGTTGCAAGTCTAACCACATTATTCAATTAAAAATATTTTTTTTTCTCTCTGGTTAGAAGTGGCTGGCTGGATAAACTGTTATCTCAGATCTGTAAATTACTTACTGTAGTTTCTATTAAAAGCCATCCAACTGCTTATTGAATTTCAAAATGTGCTCTACATCTCTCCTGGTTGGCATTTTCCACCCCATCAGTTCTTTTGCTGTGGGACTAACACGCCACTATGCATCCGAGAGATGTTTGTAAGACCTTATTAAAACCTGTGATCCCACACCAGGACTCAGGACTCTTCTGCTAGCTGACCTGATCAAAGCTGCCGAGGAAGTTCAGGTCTCTCATTTTCTGTGCTGCTCGTTAGTCCTCTGCTAGGACAGGAGAGATGGATGTGCAGGGGAAACAGGGGAATGAGGCAGAAACTTCCTGCAGGATATCCTAGGAATGGCCAGGCTACGGCAATCAGTCTGAGGCTCCCATTCTTTGCTATTATTTAAAATTACCTCCAACCCTACCAAAAAGAGTCAAATTTGACTTAAATAGCACACACAGACTTTATTTTGGGACAGGATGTAGCACATCCATTTTAATGCAATGATTTGGTTCTCTAACAGCCACGTAGCTACTATAAATGACCTGAGTTAGGGCCCACCTGCTGAGACTTCTTTTCAATTGTCTCAGAATCACACCATTGCCTTCCCTGGAGGAAATCTGGATTTCTATCTGTGTAAAGGAGAGCAGGAGCCAATCCAGGCCAGCTAAAAGAATTACAATGTCTGCTGAACTGCATACTAACACCAAAAGCAGCTAAAGGACTTGTCCATGAAAGAGAGCCTATCGACGTGTGACAGCACAAGAAAACAGACTGTATAATCTAGACATCGACCCACAAGAGAAGCAAGGCACGCAGACTGCCTTACAGACTTACCGCAAGGGGCCAGCTGACACAAGTGAGCATCCTGTAGATTCTGAAAATGTGGATGATGTAGAAGAACAAAACCATAACCAAGTCGCACATGGCGACAATCTGGAAGTAGCTGTATGCACTGTAATTCGTCCACTGAGAATTGTTTATGCTGATGAATGCGACCAGCAGCGAGATCTGAAAGACAAAAAGCACGTTAAAGGTTTTTAGAGTGGCTGATGAAGATGGTTTTTAGAGTGAAGATGGTTTCAAACACACCAAAACGTCATTTAGAAACAGAAGACAAACATCCAAAGTCAACTGCATGGTCCCAGCGAAATGGAGGACAAAGTAACAAGCACGAAAATAATGTTTTAAAATTTGCAGTTAAATCCACTAAAGCAACCACTAAGAGTGGGAAGAGAGCCAGCTGCTAGAAGGAAGGCAGCAATCTCAGCCTGAAGAATCCAACCTGAAGAAGTCTCTGTGTACAAAACAAGAGGCCTCAGATAGAGCAGAGGCACTGACAGCCAGGAGTTGCAGCAGCAGCTGAAGGACCTAAACCGCGTGGACTTTCCGGAGGGTGTGGATTGCTCAGTACAGTCAAAATCACCAAATGCTGTAAAAATGAACCCACAAACACATACCTTTACTTCTATTTTGTGAGATTTCTCACACCAAATCGTAGGGCTGGGCTCCAAATGAACCCAATTTTCACCCTTCCTTTTCTACCACCTACGCAGGAGGAGTATTAGCAGGCTGCAAAGTTGTACCACAAGAAATAATACAAACTTTGGAGGAACTGATTAATTCACCCCATACCGAACACCGTCATTGAAAAGCTTTGATATGCTAACAGGGTTACATGAAACCACAACACATTAATGTACAACTTTGCAAGTCTACAGCTGACAGAAGGACAAGAGATCTCTTTATTTTTTTAATCTAAAGCTACTCGTTTATTTTACTGATCTTGCAGGTTGCACCAACCCAGATAAACTGGGTGATAAAAATAAATCTACCCAGGTTATACCCAAATATTTTGTTATTACAGACTTCGGCAATGAGTGTTTTCAGCCATTGTAATTTTCAGCTCATCCAGGCTCAGCCAGGAGCAGTCATGATTCACACTTTAAGAGTTTCTCCACGACATGAAAAAACTTTCTGAGGAAGCCTGCTCTTCACTACTGCACCATACTTCTGTGCACAACCAGCTTTCAACCCCCTAACCTAAGCTGCATCCATTAGCAGTGTAATTTAACTAGATTAAAAGGAAAAAAGCAAACCACTCAGCACCCAAACAACATAGCTCAGATTCTTCCTGCTTCATCTTTGAACTTCACCTGCTCAGTTGGAAGTGGACAGGCTAAACATACTCACCCTCCAGTTCCTTTCTTCCCAGGTGTGCTCCCCTTCCCAAGCACGTAACCCTGCCTGCACCACGCCTGCTCTCTGCCCCTCAGTCCAGGTCTCACAGCTTGGCCACTGGCTACTCCTAAATGCACAAAGTCCTGTATTTTGTGCACGGTGGAGGTTTCTGAGACGTTACGTTTCTTAGAAGACACCAAAGCAATGCTCTCCACTGTTTAAAGACTTTTGGCCAAGTTCTTCAATTCTGAGATCATTTTAATGGAGCTTTGCCCTATCTATTTTCATGAGCAGCCTTTGTCTTCTTCTCCTTACCACCCTGACTCCAGTCCCTGTCGTGTACTGGTAGGCCTCCCTGATTCAGGTGCTCTCACAACAACCAGTTATCAGCTTCAATTACACTGAAAATCAAGAAAAAAGCTATTCAGAGAAACGTTAGATCGGCCTACTGGCTCATTTCACGCTTGAACCATTACCTTTAGCAGCTTTTGTACCGTGTACAAAGGATAAGAAGGACGGAGGCCTTGAAGTACAACCACCAGCCAAATAACAAGAAGCACTGGGGAGCCTTGCTTTAACAGAGCTGGTTCTTTCAACTTCTGAAGGTGAAGCACAAAAGTGTTTTTTTTTACTTCCTTTAGACAGAAAGTCTAAAAATTTCAGAACAAGCAGAAAGACGAATGTGAGCCATCTAACAACAATGATCAGAAAATTCACCTGAGGTGTTATGTTCCTCCAAAGTAAGAAGATCCAAGGTACCAAACGACCTGTGAAGAAGCTGTTCAGCTCCCAAGAACAAGGTGGAAGCTTGGATTTGAGCAACCAGGCTCTCCACTCCAACTGTACTTCCCAAAAACAATTGGCAAAGATTCTCCCTTTGCTGCTTTCAAGTGTCCCTCAGCATCCCTCCACAGGCAGGAAGAAATCACTGTGGGGCAAGAGGTATTTCTCTCAAATATTTCCTTTCCTGGCATAAATTTCATGACACAAGACTGGCCCACGTGTTCTAGAGAGGGTTGGTCCTCTGCTCAGAGGCACCTAATGCTACTTCACAGGACAGGCCCAAACGGGAGGAGATCATCAACTTTAGATAAAGCTATTCCACGCTCACCTCACAATATTGCCTACGTGGCTAACGGGTACATTCAGAGTTTAAAACTCAATCATCAAAAAGAATAGCAGCAAGTGCAGCAAACAGAGCCACAGAATATTCTCTCTCTTTTACAAGTGACAAATATCGAAGTTCCACCACCAGATAGCAGAGTTTATGATGCTATACCAGGAATATATGATGATAGAGCAGGCAATGACTGTATCTATTTTTTCGTGTAACTCCTGTTCCCAGAAGACTTGGAATTGAGCAATGAAAAGATTAATATGCAACCGTCTGAGATACAGTTAAACATCCATCAGAATTCAGGTTGTGGCACAGACATAAATATATAAGAGGGACAGAGAGAAAAATGAATGGCAAAGTAATAAAATGATCAAGTGTTATGAATGTTCTTTATGTATATGTGTGCGGGGCAACAGGTTAATACATCTTGGAAATAAAAAATTGAGGCACAAAAAAAAAAAATCAGGGCATTGCCAATTCCATTTCAATATCGTATTTCACAGGTTGTGAAAGCTGCAGGCTGTGCCCCACAGCCAGCCAGACCAGAAGCACAGGTCAACTGATGCTAAGTCTCGTTGGAAAATTTCGGGGCTTTCCACAAAATGGAACCAGGCTCCAGACCTGCAGTCCACAAGGGGTGAGGGACACGCTGCAGGAGACTAGGATTTAAGTGCTTTCTGGTTTCTGAAAAGCAACACAAAGAGCATATGCATCAGTCAACTCCAAGGGGCAGTTCTGGGGTTTAAATTAAGTTCCATATTTACCCTGTTTCACTGAAGTTGATCAGCTTAAAGTTGACTTTCTGCTGGAGCAGATATTTGAAGTAAGCCATGAGGAATGTTTAGGAACACTGGGATATTTCAGCAAGCTCTCTCTCAGTGAAGCCAACGTGAGCTGAAGGCAGTCAGCAACTGCCAGGAGGCACTCAACACCTTTCCAGAGAGAACAGACACTGCAACAGAGAGATAGGAAGAGCCCACATTCCCTTCTCTATTTTGAGCTGGAGACAAGTCAGTCATCTCCTCAGCAATGTGCCTGTGGAAAATGCTGGCTCTTGAATAGCACTGACAAAAGTTCCCAAGCCTAAACACCACCCTGATTTGAACCAGCTTTCACACATCGATGAGAACCCCTGACCCGCCTCTCCTCCAGGCTGAGCAGCTCCATCTCTCTCAGCCTCTCCCCACGTGAAGGATGCTGCAGTCCTTTAATCACCTTCATGGCCCTGTGCTGGACTCTTGCAGTAGCTCCAGGTGTCTCTTGTACTGGGGAGCCCAGAACTGGACACAGCACTCCAGGGGTGGCCTCACCGGTGCTCAGCAGAGGGGAAGGATCACCTCTAAGGATGCCCACACCTTCCTCCTGCATCCCTCTGGCAGGAGAAGAGAGGAGAGGGAAGGACTGGACAAGAGTCATAAATTCTCTCTCCTCGTGCTATAAAACGCTGCTTGAAGTGTTTCCCAGCGATACTGTTATTCTTTAAAAATGTGCTCTGTTTTTCTCCCAGATTATTCTTGTCCCTGTCGAAGAATGGAGTAACGAGCACCTAAAGTCCATCGGCCATTCGTTACGCTCAGTAAAAAACAAGGAAAATGTGTAGCAGGACTTCAAGGAAGTCATCCTTCCACTGCTGGAAAAATCAACAGAAAGGGAAGGAGAGAAGTCACGCCTTTGTATTAGGAAGAGATTGCATCTCAGGATTAATAGGCTCAAGTCCCCTGCACAAATAAATAATAATAATAAAAAAAAGGTGCTGGAATGTATCAGCAAAGACAGAAGAACCTAGACCGACCCTGCAAGCTCAAATCACCTGCTGCAAGGAAAGGGCAGGCAGAAATGAAGAGCTTACAGATACTGCTTTCCTCCCCAGTGCCCTGAGGGAACCATAATGTACGAAAGGCTGTGCCCTTCACATCTCTCCCTATATGCTGGCTGGCACCTCTGAGCATTTTCTGATCCGGTGGTAGGAGGCTGTAGTTTATTTGACCACAGAACGATTTTATAACCCAAGAATAAATCTGGGCGAGTGCTTTATACAGTCCTTTTCTACTGTCCTGCTTTAATGGACGTAATAAATAAGGCTCTGATTTTATTACCAATGCTTAATTCTTTTGTAACATTTGGAGAGGACTAAATTTTCTTCAGACCAGCTACCTGCACAAATATAAATCCACCTCGATCTCCACTATTGACAACAAGAGGCTACGAAGGAAAGCCTGATGCTCTGAGTGTTAAAGACATTTCCACACACACACACTGACAGATGGGAGGAGTTGAATGTCAGTCCTAGTGTTTGACCACCTTCATGTTAAGAAATTCTTCCTCAACCTCCCCCGGCCCAGCTTTGTGCCATTCCTTCACATCCCAGTAAAGACTTGTGCTAAAGCTCTGCACCTTCAGAACACCTCAGACATGTGAAATGAGGCAAAAATCCCACCAACTGACCACTGATGTAGCAGACGAATGTAAAAATCTGTGGGAATGGCCCTAAAGTAATCAAGCAGAGCATCACAGAACAAGAGTAGGAAAAGGCTGGTCTTTCGGGGGTTGCTTTTGGGTTGGTTAGTTGCCATTTTACTTACTATCACTTACTTACTTACAGTAGACTGATATCACGCGTTGCAAAAAACCCGAACATCCAGAAGACATCCCAAGTAAACTCCTGTTTTCCGACTGGAAACATAACCTGTGAGGCCACTACTCATCCCTTAAC